ATAGAACTTCTTCAAAAGCGGCGTGAAGCCCCTGCACATCGATGCCCGTGTCTGGGTATCTGCTGATGCCAGCTCAGGCTACGAGCAGGGACCCGAAAGATTATATCTGAAGATCACATCTAATCTAGTTCCCCTGCTGTCTCTGCAATCAACCGGGCAATACACAAACCGCACTTTGCTTGGGCGACTGGCCTGCAGGGCGGGCACCAGTGAGCACTGAAGTACAACGCGATAACGTCAGATGCGGTCAGCTGCTGCCTGGGCTCCGGCTCGGTCGGTAGCAATGTCTGATGGAAAATGCGCTGCAGGGCCATGCTGGGCTGCTGGGCACATCAAAGTCTTTGCCGCTGCGATCCACCAGCTGGAGACCTCAGCTGGACGGCCCGGGCCCAGCGGGCTGAAGCGGGCTGAAGCTCATGTGTTTGAGCTCTCCGCCATAGCTCTGTACAAGGGTAGCCATGGCTGAGGTCTCGTATTCACAGTGGCTTGTGTCTTGTGCTGGACTGTGACTACTGCGCAACATTAGCTTGTCTGCGGTGTTTTTTAAAACTTTTCGGGGCCACAAGCAGCTCCTAATGGACCACTTGAGCCAGATTCGACCAACACGACAGCGCCTGATCGGCCCAGCTACACACAAAACCCATGGGCCTTGGGACTTCGTCACGTGGGCAGAATTGTATCCAGTAGTCGATTTTCAGGCATGCACGCGTTCTTTCCTTGCTATGCTCTCTGAGCACAGATGTCGCTCACAGTTCTGTGAGCGTAGGCAGTTAGACATCTTGCACCAACTCGTTACTTGGCCATAGATGCCCATAAGATGCTCTCACGTATGACAAGTCCAAGTCTCTCGCCATCGGCTGCTCTGTCACGAGCAGCCAGGAGACAGCTGCCTGACTTCGAGGGATCGAACTCCACTCGCAGAACCCTCTCGCAGGGTGACCTCAGCGCTGTCCGGAGGCCGTAAACGTGCAAGAACTCGCGGAGGCCTTGACATTCAAAGGTGCCAGACAGAGAGAGAGTGTTGGGTGCTGCGGCTGAAAACTGACAAAGAGGAGGGGAGAAGCCCTGAGAGGGGAAGGGGAAGCGCAAGGGGTTGCCTGTCAGGAGGACCGCCGCGGCATCAGCACCCTTCAGTGCAGGAGTCAGTCTGGACAGAAACCCGCTGGTTGGGCAGTTGGGCATCGAACAAGGAGCCCTCTGCCCGCAATGCAGCGTGTGAAGCAAGCGAAGGCAATTCCCTGCCTCGGACGGAAAGCAGACAGCCGACAAAAGTCCCCACATCAGTGGCTGTCTCAGCTTCGGGCCACATCAATGCTTGCGAATTCTCTTGCAGGCTTCGTAGAGCCACAGCCTGAGTCAAGACATGACCTTCCACTCCCGTGACAGGCTGAACTCCCGGTAGGAGGCAAACTCGTGCAGCACTTGGTTCCGTGACGCTTTCACTACAAGCGACAAGCCAAACCCGTCACTGCGGTTGATGAAGCAATCACGATCAAGGTATGAAGCACCGGAGAATGAGCCTCTGGCAGCTCTCAAGATCATGAAGGTCGCGAGCAGAAACAAAGGCTCGTCACCTGCATTGCGACCGCGGCCTCTCGGGATCTAAAACGAATGGCTGTTGGCCTCGATCCTGTTGCGGGAGCTGCAAATCAGAATCTCCTTTTAGGAGGGCCTCAAGAGCCACTGAAGGCCAGATCAAGCGGCGACCGAAAGTGAGGGAAGCCTCTGCGTCCCCTCCTTCGCCGGGGAGCTGTCCTCAAGGTTTGCGCTCATAGCTTCAACTCAAGGCTCAGCAAACCAAGGCTGCTGCCTTTCGAAACGTGTAAAATCCTGAATAGCGAACATCGGGACACAGTGCAAGTGCAAGTTTGCCGCCGTAACGTGCAGTTGAGATGCAGCGCCAGGAAGATCAGTCTGACGCGGACATGGGTGAGAAGCATAGGTCCTGGAACTCAACACATTGGGCGGATTCTCGCTCCGGCACCCTACAGAAAGAAGAACCCACACACAAGCTTCTGCTGTGCCGCTGTCCAAATCAGGATTGTACCTGAAAATACTTACTGCTTCGGGTTGGCTCCCACCCCTTGTTCAGATATCCTGCATTCTGCCCTTTCCTTTCTGTTCAGCTTGCGCACACGCTTTGATTACACTGCTTGAGGGCTGCTGCTGTTGCCCCACATATTGACTCTTGCTTGTCATGTCTTGTCACAACTTAAACTCCAAAAACCCACCGCACCGCTTAGCAAAGTGCAGCCTCTCCTGTGAGATTTCAGGCGCCCATGGAACAAGCGTGCTCGCCTGATCCACAGCATGGCAGTGGCATGGTGGGAGGGTGACGAGGCAGCAGGCAGCCTGTTGGAGTTTCTTTGAGGCGCGCCCTGCGCGCTCCGCGCCACTTGCGAGCCCGAAAGACGTGGAATCAGCGGGGTTGCACGGGTAAATGCGCAAAGCGAAACTGAGCTCTGAAGGCATGCACGTGCATTTCTGCTTAGCAGGACACCGGTCTTGTAGCGAAATTTCTCAAAGGCCTGCAGCTGCAGCAGAGTTAGTACTACGTCTTGATCTACATAAGAGCGTCAGCCAGTTCCAGGATCGTTCCAACACTGTGCTAGTGCAAACGAGACACGTCTACCACAAGATTGGTACTCAGCAACAGTATTGCATATCATTACACACCGCCGCACGCATCTAACTCTGCAGCTCAGCAAAATCACGCTGCTGCTTTCTGTAAAGCCGGCCATTCTCGCAGGAGCTGCAGCCGGTCAACATTCATGAACGATCCGGGTGTTACTGGTGCGTGGGCGTTGTCCTGGCCACCATTGGGCCGACAGCTCCTGCAGGAAAATGGGAACAGCATGACACTGGCGTTCTTAAGACACTATACTTGCCTCTTTGCTGGTTAAAGTGCGTTGGCCGACACGCTTGAACCCAGGATTGCCTTTTGTGCAGGGTATCGGCTTTGTCATCCCATCGTACGTGTTTGGGTTGCCGAATTGGACCTCATGGTACGTCGTCCGGCAAGGGTGTATGTATCGGCTCACAGACTTCGAAGGAAAGTCACGCTTGCCCGATGGACAAATCAATGCAAAGCCTCTTGCCCGACAGCGCATGATGGCAATCTCAAACGTGCTTGCAGCTACATATGTTTTTGGAAAGGATCACGGCATCCTGGATGCGTCAGCCGCACACCGATGCAAGTCTTGAAACATCTCATGTTCACTTTAATCCGTAAGCTTCGTGCTCGCCGGAAACTTGCTTGATGATGCTTCAAAGACGAGCTTGAAGATGTCGAGTGGGCCATGCCAGGCGAATGACGCCAGCATGCCTTGGTTGCCTCTGCAACTGAGCTTGCTTCAGCAACAGCGAGATGCCATATCTTTCCTTGCCGCAAGATTGCGCCTACTCTCCCCGAACTGTGCCTTCAAGACTACCGGCCAGAGCTTGCTTTCCATTCAAAGCCGATGCGACTAGTCAGTCGGGCTGGAGGATGTGCTTACCCCAATTTCCAAGGAATCCTACTGATCGTCGGTGACGAGTCGAGTGAGTAGTGCTTGTGGTACAAGACAACTCGACCAGTGGCGGCAGGGCAAGGCGGCATCCGCTTTGTAATGCAGCGCTTCGCGCCAAAAGACAGAAGTCGTGTCCAAGTCGGTCGTACCCAGAATGCCATGGACATGCAACGCAGTCGCGGAACGCAAAGAAACTCAACTATGCCTTGCTTGACGTCTTATTGTCGTTTGCAAACGTATCTGGCCCTGTTCCGCCTTTGAACCCTCATGCAATCGCTTCCGTGAAGAACGACGGTTGGTCTGCAGATGTTAGTACAATCAAAACTAACCTAATGGCTCAATACCGTTACATCTCGCAAGCTTCATAAGGGAAGGAACCGCATCCGGGCATTGGCCAGCTGCAAGCTAAAAGCATTCCCGCGAAACCGCATGCGCCTCAACGCACATCAGGTCATCACCTGGCGCGGGAACCGCTCGCCCGGCTGAGATGTCACTGCACCAATCACGTGGTCCATCTTCCGTGTGTATTTTATGCACTTCAGCCTACTACCTGCAAATGCGTGTGATGCGTGCTGGGTTCAGAGTGGGCGACCACCTGCGATCAGCACACCATTGCCGCTGAACCCCAGTTGATATCAGCAATGAAACTTTCTCCGTCATGTTTGGGCGCTGCTGATCTCCCTTCTGGTAATTCCATGTATTTCCTATGCTGGACACTGTCCCTAAACGGCTCCGACGCATGCCGGTACGGTATTCGGAGTAGGGCGCGCCCCTCATCTTCGGCCGGCGCTGGCGCTAATCACAAGCGGCTACACGAGCTTTTCGGCAGTACCCTTGAGACTCTTGCAGTTTTGCTCGCACTGAAGAAATGACGGTGCCGGGCAGACGCTGTGTCCATCTTCTCTGCGTTGAACCACAGTCACGGATGCGAACTTGTTCGGGTCGATCTTGCAGGCTCACGGTATCTATATTCCACATCTCATTGCAGAAAAATGTCCACGCAGCAAAAGTTCACCGCGAAATGCATCGCAAGCTGAAGGCAGCCTTCTTGTTCTTGGCTTTGTACTCCTTGTAATTCGACTGTGCTTTGCCTTCAATTTTGGCTTGCACTGACCCTCCTCCATTCGCGTCACTCTGATCATACAACCAACTCAAAGGCTTTAGCCACTGACATTCGAGGACTCTGACTCTCTTTTCACCAAGCCGCTTCGTTCGGCGGCTGCCTCGAAGTCCTTAATGCGCTCCTGCCAAAACTGTTGCCCTCTGCCGTCCCTCTTCTCTCACAACCTAACTACTGCAACAGTAGTCTGCTAGTGCAGTAGACCTCAAATGAAGATAGTAGCACCTACGACAAATATCTTGCACAGAGGCCCTGCAACAGTTCCAAGGGCATGCAGGCTGTATGCATCGTATGGTCCCTGGCATTCATCAGCCAGGGTGTGTGAAAATTTACTCTGCCATCCGTAGCAGCATGCTCGCAAAACCGTCACGCTATGGTGCACAAGCGCTTGTTGCCTCGTCTATGGAGTCGAAGATGTCAAACTTCACGAGCTTCTCTTCAACCAGCTTCTTCATGGATGCCTTCCAAAGGCACGATGAGAAGCGACAATCTAACAGACACAGCGAGCTGCCTAGTTCACGACATCGCAGAAGCAGAAACTGAGATTCTGACATCTGCATCGGCAACTAGGGTAAGGCCTCCCAGACCAAGCAATGAAAGCCGTGTTGAAGCTTCTTGGCTTTCTCTGCAAACTAAAAGCCGACAAGCCCTGACGAGCCTGGCATCGTTCCAGGGAGGGTCATTGAGGGTTCTGGCCGTCGCTCGTCAGGACGCAGCTCACCAGGCTCCTCCTGAGTTGCTAGAAACGAGCAGACAGTAAGCTGGATGTAGGATGCAAGCGACACAGTCTCGCCAAGCAGCTGGGACTGGCATCGGAGTTGGGGTGCTCATGAATTTCGCTCGGTCTTTGGGAGTCCTTATCACGGGCATTGACCTTGAAGCCTGGAGGCGGAGCTGCGAGCGCTTGCGGCAGCTCAGGAGAGTGCCGATTCTTTTTCACAAACTTCTTCAAAGCCTGCGTTCTGCTTTCGTCGAAGCAACAGCCATCCACTGCCACACAGCGGCTTTGAAGATGTGCGTCCAGCAGGGCCTCTGTCGCCTCCTTCTCGGAAAGGACTGGGGCATATTCAGGGATGCCCGAGGGCATCATGGCCTGATGGCCTGCCAACAGAAGAAAACCCGAAAACAGCAAGCAGAACACGGAACGGAACGGTGCATGACATGCAAATCTCGTGCCATCTTCCAGATTTCACTTGTCACGCCTGCCTATCTGCAGGTGGCAGCAAGCCACATGCTGCAGCTTGTCTCGGAGATCATGACATGAAGAGCGCTTTGCCTTCCTTCCTCCTAGTCCGGCCCTTGCTCTCAACCTGGCACTTGACTCCGGTCTGCTCCCAGCCAGCAACGGATGGCTGAAGCAGCCAAAAGCAGTTTCCCCCAGGAGCCGTTTAACATCCTCGGGCATGCTCCACCTGCTTTCACTGCTGATGTGCCGCGAGACCAAAGAACCCATGCCCGAAGCACCAAGCGACACCTCGTCGATGTCCGAAGAACCCCCCCCCCGAAGATCCTCAAAGCCAGAATTCCGAATACTGCCCCAAGCCTTAAGCCCTTAGGCAAGGCCTGGGCAAGAGTCTTGCCGGGGTCCGAGATAGATGATGCAAGGCGCCCAACCAATAATTCCACGTAGGCAAGCTGGCTGTGTTTCTGGACCACACAATGCAAAGGATGGACGAAAACGACCGCTGCTACACTGTTACACTGCTGATGGAGTCTTGCTGCACTGCAAAAAAGGAGCTCGAGCCACACTCACCCCGCGCCGGTTTGGACATGGCATGGCATGGCACCGCCAGGCACGAAAGGCTCGCAAAGGCGGTCTCTAGTCACTCTAGTCCCGTCTTCTTCCTTTTCCTGTGCAGAGCACGAAGCACGCTCTCCGCGATGGGAGCCCCTGCCATCTTCACGGGGCCGTGTCACGTCACTTACGGTAAGCTGGGCACGATGGCTCTCTCCAAGTCTTAGTCTTGCCATTTGAAGTCACTTGCCGAGCTGGCCTGTATCGATGACAGCATGGCACGTGAAAGTGGCATGCGACTCACTTCTTCATCTCGACGGCATTGACGCGCGCCCCAAAGTTCAGGGAGCACATGGACTCCTCGTAGAAAGCCGGATTGTGCGTTACACCACAATGCCTCACACTCCACAGCAGAGTCCTCGACATGGCTGCCGCAAGGATTCAGCTGAAGCAGCATCAATGTCTTGGAGTCCCCGCCCAAGGAGTCCTCACATTGTCGATCCTCTTTCGGCAAGGCTCAGCGATGCAACACAGTGGTCCTGAAGGAAGTGTGTAAGCACCGAGTTTCGATAAGGCGTGTGGCCCTGTTTCTGCGCCTGACAAAATAGATGAACGGAACAATCAGCTGATTGCTCCGGTGCAACTCCCAGTGACCCGCGCAGCGATGACATCTCCCAGTGAACTGAGCGACTTGTTGATGGCAATGGCCTGGAAAGGAATCGAACCGGACCATGATGTACATGATGCTTCAATAATGTTGCATGAACACTGCAGGACCTCCTTGGCACGGTCTCCTGACACGCCAGACTTGGCCAGACGCTCGGAGCCTGCCAGATCCACCTCCACAGCAGGGAAAGTGAAGACCCAAGACTTCCTCCTTGTCGCTTCTGTCACTCTGCAAGGCCCACCAGAGTGATGGCCGACAAGAACTGCTTGCCGTCAGGATTTGTCATCGTCCCTATGATCTGGACCTCCGGGAGCCCCGCCAACTGATGCTCGGTGTTTGGTCGCCAAGCATGCTATGCCCGCTACACTGACACAAGCTGAGATCAGGGCGGCAAGGTGCGAACGGGAAGAGTGAAGATTCATGTCCGTGGCAGCAACGGTTCGATTCCTGAGCGAACACGGCAGAGGAAAACTCTACCAGAAAAAACCGGGTGCGGCTTCAGAGCAGCCCTTGTAGTTCAGAGCAGCCCTTGTAGTGTAAGTAAGTCCTGGACGTCTGAGCTGTGCTAAGCAGCATCTCAACTTCCTCGGCGTTGTTCACCGGCCTGATCCCGAGCCACCACCCCTCATGGTGCCTTTGTTTAAGCCACTTCAACTTCTCTTGAAAGCAAGGCTCTGCATCGTCAGTCCGGGCACATAGTTCCCTTCCTTGCCCTGCCGGACCTGCGCCGAGATGTTCCATCGCTAACTAGGAAAAGGCGCAGCCAAAGCCTGAAGCTTCTGCTTCTTGTCGCCAGGCCCAAGAAGAAGGTCTCGAATCTCCTCGGGGGGCCGAGCGCTGGACGCGGCAGCTGCAGGCAGCCCAAGAGCAGCTCTTCACAGCCTCGTTGTAGATCTCCACACAAGCCTGGGCAAAAGAGCCGGACCCTCGCTGTTTGGACGCAAAGCTTCCCTGGGCAGCGCACACCCTTCAGCTCAATCTTCCAGCCAGTCCTTTCTTTGGCCACCTGTCGAAATTCGTTTGCAAAAAAGTGCATGGTGTCAAATACTGAAAGGCTTGAACCTGAAACGGTGGGCACGTCCGGAGCCTTGAAGAGCTCGTTGAAGGTTCGCGTGTAGACGCCAGGATTGTCCCTGCAGAGCAGCCGCCATCTCAAAAGGGCTGTGGAGTTTGCAGGCGACCACGGATTCGTCGTTCGATGTGGTAGAGGATCTAGACTTTCTGCTAGTCTGAGAGGCAGTCGGCAGTCCTTGTCCCCTGCATGGAGTGCGTTTTGCCAGAGCCCGTCTGACCGTAGGCAAACATGCAGACGTTGTAACCTGGTTCATTCGCATTTCAGTTCTGGTGTCTCCATGTTGCCGTGCCGAAAAGGAGGCTGGGGAGACAGCCATCCAGCATCGAGACCACTAAATCCCGTATTCCGGTGAAGAGATCTTCCTGGCACTGGGCTTAGAAGGCGAGTGTCAGGGCACCGACTGAAAGCAGTTCATATGCCCTCGCAAACCGCTCCGTGGAGGGCTGAGGCATGAGAAAGCAAGGAGGCGTTTTGAAAATGAAGCGACAATCCCGGGCTTTGAGGCAGTCGGCAGTCGGGCCTGACTCGAGTTTTGTCGATAGATCTCGTTGAACTGGAAGCTCCTTTGCAGCAGAGAGGCAAACATGTTAAAAGCATCTTGGCATTGCTCCAAACTCCGTGCCAAAGGTGTAGTCATGTACTTGCAACCTTCACAAGACACCGGATGTAGTGTACTCATCTCAGACTCAGACTTCTTGGTGCCCATGTCTGCATTGCTGATCTGGATCTGTCACAGGGATGGGCTGCAGCGGCTGTCGGAGCTCCGCATCACACCGCATCTGCCTCATCTGGCCCTGGAAAGCTGATGCAGCAGCCATGTGCCGCCCTAGGATGGACTCTATGCCGTAGGCAGCAGCTCCAAGAGCCCTCCAAACAAGAGCCTTGCGCTTTGCTTCTGGGGGCTGGGCTCTGCCTCCGTCATCGGTCGAACCCGGCAGTACACACGGATGTTGCCTGCTTCGAAGCTTCGCAGCCGCGGGTGGGCTTTTTGTCTCGGACTCCACTGGGTGGTCGGGCCTTTCAATTCCTGGACCAGGTTGTGCAACCTCAAGGCGCTGCACGCATCCCCACAAACGTGCTTTCAAATAGCCTTTGGAAAACAGTGAACCGAGTCGATGGCTTGCGTCTTCTGTCGCACTCGATAGCATACTTCTCTTTCCACTCCTGCATATGGTTTCTGCTTTTTCTGCTTTTTCCATGCTCCAGCGGCGAAGTGTGCGCCGCTCATTCAAGATACGCCGTTGTAATTCCTCTGAAGTTTGGCCCAGAAGTTTCAGATGGAACGAGGGAGTTTAGGAAGCCGCTGACATCCGCCCGTGTGACCCTACAATGGCCCTGCTTACAAGTAGAGCGAAACCTCTTTACCGACTCGGATGCGATGCGATGTCCATGGAAGAGGCGGTTCGACCCGACTGCTTCTATTTTAAAGCTGGCTCAAAGCGAGGTCCTGCGATCCTTTATCCAGCAACTTTTGCAGCTCTGCTGCCTGTACCGCGCTGTCGGACTGCTCAAATGACTCGCGTGGGCACTTTATGGACGACGTCAAGTCTGTACAAATTCGTTGTGGCAGCCTTGCTTCGCATGACCTCTTCCAACACCTGCAGTGTCACAACTGAACAATGCCCGAGGGGAAAACCTTTCTAGAACCAAGCACCTGCGGTAGCTGCTGTTGAATTTCCACCGCCACCTGGCACAGGTCGTAAAGCCGGGACTACGAAGGGACTCTCGAAACAATGATTGGACTGCAGACATAAAGTTCTGGGGCGGATCGTAGCCTTGCTCGGACCTGCTTTCTAACCACATGACCATCATGCTGAAAGTAAAACGACATGAACTCGCAAACACTGAGAACAGCCTTGTAGATCAGCATACAAACCAGGCAGCAGTGATTCTGAGTCAACCAATCAGGCCAGTAGAGTAACTGTAATGAAGACTTGCGCCCGCTGCAAGTGGTCGTAGTAAACATGACTGGAGTGCCGTCGCTCGCATCTCAGACACTTGCTTCTTGCCTGCGACCATCTACACGCTCACGATCACAACTGACGGGTTCTAGCTGAGACGGGGCACATGTGAGCGCAACTGACACTCGCTGTTGCTTCAGAACGGCACTGAACTTTCTTCACACAAGCACAACCGCAGGGCACGCTCAGGCTGTGAGTCTACGGCCTGCAGGCCACCGTCGAACGAGGTTTCTCTGCTAACAACCAGCGGACACACCGTTGGAAACCTATTGCAAGACGGGTGAAACGACTCGTTAACGTGCCAACAGTGGAGTGGCTCAGTCTCCACGGCATGGCGCCGGCCTTTGGTCTGCCAGCTCACAAATGCCTTCCAGCGAAGGCTCTTGAAAGGGCTCTCGCAAGGACACATATGTCTTACAGCCGGGCAGCCCCGAGAAAGCATGGCACGATGCCCCAGAGGCTTGATCTCGCACATGTCCCACAAGGCCGGGTCGATGGCTCCTTGGATGCTAGCAACCGTCTCAACATCTCAAGCTTGCAAAGATGTGCAAACATAAGCAAGTGCAGGCGGGGTGCTGACGCCCACACTGCCAGCACCGCCGATTTTCATCGAGAGGAGCCGCGAGGTGTCAGCGTTGAACTTATGCTTCAGCCTCGGAAGCAAAGAGTCCTGATGTTCTTCTTGCCAAGACTGGATAGAGATCTAGCTTGCTTTTTGCTGATCTTGGCTGCTGAGCTCGACACGCTGGGTAGTACTGCAGGAGAACTCCTCTGCCTGCAATCGAAATCGGATTCAATTCGTTACTTGCACCACCACTCACATGAACAAGCCTTTGTCAAGGCCGCGCAACCACTCTCGGAACTGCTCCTGCGGCACTGCTAGGCGCACTTTGTTGCTGCACCCATTGCATCCATGGCAAAACTCTTGACAGCCCTGCACTTTATCAAGTCCTCCAGCACGGCGTTTACCTGGTCGTATTTTCTGCGAAAATACCTGCAGCATTCACTCGCAATAGCTCTGCCTGTCTCTGCCTTGTCCTGCGGCGGCAAAGCCATTTTCCGGCTCAAACTTCTGTCAGGGGCTCGGACTCTTCGAGAGCTGCTTGCGGCAGCTTGGAAGCACTGCCATCCTGACACAAACAAAGGTCTCCGAGACCTCGTCTGCAGCACAATGGCATGGACCTGCTTCGACCAGTAGACATAGAGAGCAGTGTCCTGATCATGCAAACAGACTGACCATCTTGCACACGACCTGAAACTCAAGAAGGTGATCAGGACCTGTCCGAGTCCAGTTCGCAGCAATGCAAGTCTGCGTCAACAAGGCTCCTGCTGTTCGTAAGCGCTCACCTTGACTTTCTCGTCTTGAATCGTCACCCTCGGACAAGCGTCCACCATGGCCTGCCCACAAGGAGCCCGTGCCAGACAGAGTTCCCCAAGGAGCGTATCAGACCAGGCAATGTGGATCGCCTGCCGCGCCCTCGCGTTAGGCACTGTGACGATCGCAGCGCCGTAGTTCTGATTCTTGAGAACCAGAACCCCCTCAACCTGAAAATGCCGGAAAAATTCAAGCCCGAGAGTCAATAGCCAAAAGATCCACGTGGATTAACGCCAGTTGAACCCGTGGCTCAGGCGGGGATCCGGAAGCTCTTCCGTCCTTGGATAAATTCAGGTCGCCCAGCTTAGCTTCGCGGCATTTGCTCGCTCCAGCCACGTAGCTATTCGTGTCGTTTGGCTCCGCGGTCGGCACCAAAGAAGCTTTTGGAGGAGCCTCCGCATCCGCCGCATCTGCATCCTGTCACAAGATTCAGAAAGTCAAGGAGTCGTAAAGGCGATTGGTTGCGGATGCCTCTGAAGGAGGCGGCGGCTCTGGATCGAAAGGGCCGACAGGGAGGACTGGCTCCGGCTCCGCGCAGTCCATGTGACCCACTTGCTCCGGCAAGGGCTCTGCAGGCTCTGCCAGCTGAATGCGTGCAGTGCTGGGTCGTGGCCGTCGTTTGCTCGGCCGAACTGCACCCGGAGCCGGAGCGGACTCGCAAGGCTCCGCTTCCGGCTCCTCGGCCTCCTCTGGCACGGCTGGGGTTGGGGGCCCGAGGCTGTCGTGCAGCCTCGATTTCTTGGAGCCCTCATCCTCCATCAAGGGCCCTTCGGCCTCCTCGGCCTCCTCGGCATCTTGCGATCCACTCGAGATGTCGTCGAATAACCCCTGCAGCCTCACGAGGAGAAGACTGGGCAGGTCAGCTGCACTTCAGTACGGTTTCAGCACGGTTTGCTATGTGCCTGCTCAGCAATTTCTCTTTCGAGTCGACGTCCCCAGGCGAGGACGGAGATCGGGGGGCGGGAGCTTCCGCGGAGGACGATGCGACCGGCTGCTCGAGAGATTCATCCGGCCGAGAAGCTCCCGACGGAGCCTGCAGGCTAACTACTGCACTTGCGCAAGGCATCTACCATCAACGTCAGATCATGCCGAAAGCTGCCGAGCCTCTCGTGAAGCCACTGGCAACGAAGCCGAGGACACATCTTCATCTGGCGCAGGCGGACCCAAGTCTGGCGCATCGGAGGGGTTCGGGAACTCCCGAGCCTGCATCCAGATGCTGACTTCCCTGCACGGCCTCAGTCCTGCATCAGAGACACAGCGCATATTATGGACCACCACGTCGCTTCCGCCTGCTCGATGTTTCGTCTCTTCCGCCTGGCATAGCCGATCGACACTCAGCCGCCTTGAGTCCCTCTCTCTCTCTCTCTCTCTTTCTCTCTTTCTTTCTTCCTTCCTTTCTTTCTTTTTCTCTCTCTCTCTCTCTCTCTCTCTCTCTCTCTCTCTCTCTCTCTCTCTCTCTCTCTCGCTCTCTCTCTCTCTCTCTCTCTCTCTCGCTCTCTCTCTCTCTCCCTCTCTCTCTCTCTCGCTCGCTACTTGTCTTCTCCAGGTCCAAGCTCCTTTGGAGGGGGTGGAGGGGTCCAGCCTTCCTGTCTACTGCGCTTTGCCGCAGTCTTTGGCCTGGCCTCGATCACAGCTGGGCAGAAAGCAGAAGTTGAAAACGGAAGACCAAAACCGGGAGCCCCACGGCAATGAAGGTCCCCTTCCTCTTGCGACCTGGGCTTTGGCTCGAACATCGCTTGGATCTTTGCCTGTCGAAGCATCACGGCATTTCTGCGAGTTGCTGCGAGCCGAAGCTGACGAACATGACATCATGAGTCCTCGTGAAGGGGCTTCTCGACTTTGGCGGACTTCTTTGACGACCTGGACATGACAGAGGCTGGTCTCGCTGCGGCACAGCACTCCGTACGAATGCTGAATCCAGACAGCTCAAACTCACGTCGCCTGACGGTTGTGTCTTGACTGCTTTTTGTGTCCTGGCATTTGCAAGGGGATGACGATCACCACAACAACGCGCAATAAAATTTCACATCTACAAGTACTACTAAGTGCATCTAACTGCGGCATCGCAGCACTAAACACTCCAGCAGCGATTTACGAGACTGATTCGCAGCAGCGGGTCGGGCAGAAGCCGCAAAGACTTGACTCAGCCTACAGTAGTTGGGCCGCGACAGCAAGTTGAGCAGTCTTGCAAAAGAGTTGTTCACTGCTGCGGTCAAAATCCACCTCAAGGAGCCACGATTGAGGTGCAAAGCACGGACAGCAGGCACGCGGAACAGTCGCGAGTAGCGATGACACTGTTCTTGCGGCTTCTGTGTTCCGAGCATGATCTTATGATTTCTGATGGAGAACTGCTTCTAAACCCTGAAATGCCGGGAGTCTCCTGATGCTCTGCTTTGCCCTGTTCCTCCTCTTGCTTGGAGCTGGATCGCTCCCTCTGTCCTGCAAAACTGACAAGCGGAGTGACTAGCATTCCTACAGGATGCTCTGATCCCTCTTGCACGAAGCAAGCCATCCGCCTTTCCAAGGGCGCTGAGAGCTTGCTCTTCGTAAAGCTTCGCTTTGGCGAGATCCTCGTGTACGACGGCACCAAGTCTGAACCACGTGGTGTTGGCGTGGGATGTGGGCCAGTGCGTGCGAGAAGCTTTGTCGACGCCGGTGCCCTTTCTGTAGTGGTTGCTCAGATGGGCACAGGCAGTCGCGTTGTGCCTGAAACGAATCAAAAAGCACGCCACCACTTCACAAACCATGCCAGGCTCTAGACTCTGCACGACACGGCGGACTGTCTTCACATCTGAAACCCAGCGACGGGTCTCTCCGCACAGCGGCGTGAAGCATGCTCACGCTCAGTTCCTGAGCTCAGTGGTGAAATTGAAACGCAGGCTTTGCTTCACAAGTCGTACCCCGATGCCGCCATGCAGAATCTGACGTATGCCGAAGCGCCACTTCGCCTTGCAGCCACGCTTGTCCACTCCGTTCCAGCATCATGCTTGCAGACCCGCTTTCGCCTGCAGGCTACGGTGTGTTGCGCACTGTGGTTGGCACGCACATGGCCTAAGAAGCAGAAGTGCTGAGCAAATGGCTGGACGAGTAAGAAGACATTCTGCAGAGCGGACCTGAAGAGAATGTTGCAGTGGCAGTTCGCAGACACGATGCTCGCACCGTGATCGATCGTAATCGGCAGCCACTTCAGGATCTCGCAATCATCGTCGCTCGTGCAGTACTTGCGCATCTCCTTCGCCAGCTGTGGGAATGCAAAGCATGGTCGAGGGTTCGCACGCCACCGAAAAGACTCTGTCAGGCTTAGAAATGCCTCAGTTAGTGCCACCCCTCGGATGACAGGGCACGCCACAATGCAAGCGCCATGGCCTTGTTTAGGGCGTCTTAGGCCTGACTAGGCCGGGCTTCTCATACTTTTTTGCGGAGTGGAGACCTCCTGCTCTTGAAAGACGACGACTTTCGTAACAACTACCGGATTGCTACCGCCGTTAACACGGCTAGTCACGCCGATCCAGGCAATAACTTGACCCCGAGTGGCACCTGGATGCAGTCTTTGTGGAAGACATGCTGGCAGCGGAGTGTCGTGGCACGGCCTGCCACATCATGCGGGAGTCTGTTCCTATCCTGGGCTTGAAGGCTTAGGGCTTTGGGGTTCAAGCCCCACCTCGGCTAAGCCTGTGCAAGCACAGCTTGCAGGACTCCATGGCAGCTAGTGTCAGCCATCTCTCGGCAAAGAGCTCGTGGCAAGCATTGGGGCGTCGTCCGAATACGCTGCATTCTAAGCACCAGGACCAACCCAGAAGCCTATAGGCCCAGGCTCAGGGCCAACAGGGGGACACAATTTACAACAGTCTGCAGCTACGCTGAAGGGCTGAAAGCGCCGCTCATGTCAACTGAGAGGGGGCACTTCCCGAATCAGCATGTCCCGTATGATGGACATTCAGCCAATGGCTGCTAATGGAAAGCACACATCATCACAGCGATGAAACAATAGCATCCCCAAGTGCGAAAGTGCCTGCTGCGATGGCGGATTGGACTTTGGCCACGACCTGTGGAGGCAGCGCCCTCCCACCTGCTGCTCGAAGCTTCGCCTGCCGGAAGAGGGACGACTTTGGATTTTTTTATTTATCTGACGGAGTGTGCGTTATTCCCTTCGCCTCCAAGTCACCCTTCTCCGAATCGAGTTTTTTGTAGGCCTTCAGCTCAGCACGCAACTCGCCACTGACGACAAGTCTACATGCACTCTGGCAGTAATCTCCATTTTGCGCGTCCGCTTCGCGTGGACCCTCCTTCGGCTACATCTCAGCTGCGCAGAGCGTTTTGATCTGAGCAGCAAGCGGAGGCCTGCGGTAAGAAACATCAAACAGACCCGAATCTTGCTGGCAATCACAGCTTTCAGATCACAATCCTTGGTCACGACGAAATCGTTTGGGAAGGAACTCCACCACGGCCGCATTGCGACGTAAGGCGGCCAGCCAGAACCTACCTTTGCGCACGGACAAGACCACGCGAATGAAAAGGTGTCAATTGCATGATTCAGCAATACGACACGGGAACACGACCGTCTCGATACTTCCACAGTGCAACCATCCAGAAACCAAGGTGCGCTTTTGCTTCAAGTCCTGCATCTGCAAGCTCTCCAGTCTACACTACTCGCGAGAATCCTGCAGACAGAGGAAAGACCGAAGACGGAAAGTTCAGCACCCTGCCACCCAGCCTCTGCAACAAACCTCGCCAGGCACGCAGGATTGCGAGAAGGACGAATCAAGCAGCAACGCTGTGATCAGCGAAGGCACATTACGGCAGAAGGGTTGCTGGCTACAGCAGCACAAGCAATCTGCAAATCCTCCCGGAATTCGGGCGCTGCCCACCTGCAGTTCCCGGTAACTGGAGATGGCGGGTTCAGCGATCTTGCACGGCAGAGGCCGAGCGGCTGCAGCACAGATCCGCTGCTGCGGACGGCTTCAAGGAAGACATCGCGCCGGCTGCGAAGCTGTCTATCTGCGTAGACGACGGCGAAACCTGAGACATCTCCGATCTTGGCTGCCAAGTCAAGATTTCCAGATTTTCCAAGCCACCATTCTGCTTCACTGCCGCAAGGACAACTTCTGCGTCAGACTTCAGGCTGCCTGAGGACTCTCCGAACCCAGGAGCCTAGGACTCCTAGGACCTAGGAGGGCAATGCAGCCTCGCCTGAAGCATACTGCAGCATGGTCCCCTCCTGACGCACAGCAGCCATTACCACTTCGCGATCGTCCCTCATCTCTGGGCATGCATAGCCCAGCCTGCAGCAGCTGAGCGCTGGCTCACCTACACCAATTACATCCACCGCTCACCTACCACCAAGCCGAGGCACACAGCACTGTTGCTCACCGCAGCCAGCACGATGTCACCTTGCGGCAGCAGTTCTGCGTATCTCACGACCACGGGCGCAAGGCGTCGGGGTGGCGATCAATCTGCAGGTGCTCGTTGATTCGGTTCAGCAGGAAGCCATCGTTGCTCACAGCTGCGAGCGCCACCTTCTTTCGACTTGCCGCTTGCCCATACGGTTTGCTCTGTTCCGGGCAGCGAGTCGCGGCGAGCCTCTCGATCTGATTTCACCGAATCCGGCAGGCTCTTGAAGATTTTTGCACTCTGCTTGACCGCCGCAAGCGCAATGAGGGGATTGCTCTGAGCGAGCTCCGGTGCCACGTGCTGAAACGCCACGAAATCCGATTTCACTGCTGTCAGTGCAATCTCCGGGTCACGCTTCCTCGGCTCATGAAGCTAATGCAGATACGGTATCTTTCAAATACCTTGGGACCTTGCACCTGCCCGCTAGACTTCTATGCATTATATGCCCAGCATCAGGTCTTCATCAAGGACAAACTTCAACGCCTGACTCTCCATACATGTTTAGCCTGGACTACTCGACCTGGGCACCTCAGCCAGGCCTGGCCATAACTGCAAACGGCAGCGAGCCTGGGCGGAGGGGTTTGGATTTTGGTTGAGGCCAAGAAGATCGAAGAAGGCACGAACAGAAGGCCGCGAAAAAACAACAGACGAAAACTTCTCCGAACCGAGTGTTCACGTGCGAAAACGCTGAGCTCCAAGCACCACTTCCCGGTCTTTGCGAAAAAGCGGGGCCACGTATCTCCAGAGTGCTGCAAGTTTACAAATCTAGAACATAAGAACGAAGTGTGCTGCCTTAGAGCTGCACCACTGCTCTTGACCGCAGCCAAGGCTATTTCTCGGTCCTGGCTTCAAGGAGCATGTGTTGGGGGTGCTTGTTGTGCCGCGGTTCGTCTTGGAAATGCGTCGCTTTCGCAACTTGGCTATGTTCAGTTCACACCGAAACTCGATTAGAATTCCTACGAGTGGCTCAGGTAGATCATGGATCCTACACTGACTTACGGTAGTGCCTCATTATCATTCGCCTCTTCAGGGGGTGCATCGTGAACAATTGGACTTGCGACTTCGTGCCAGCTGCCACTCGACAGCTTGTCAGATGCGACTGTTGTGACGAAAGCAGACTGTGAATCAAAATAACCATCCTCCGAGTTCTTCCGCGTGTTCCTGCTGGAAAGACAAATCTGTATCGCATGTGTCTGCGAAAGGTAAGACTTTTCCCCCATGTGACGTTCAGATACTTGTCCGCCAAGTATGTTTATGCTGAACTCCCGTCTCCGTTTGGACTGGCCAATGCATCGAGGGTTTCGGCCTGCAGTTGAAGGCTATTCTTTGTCTCATCGAGCTGTCCTTGTTCCGCTCTTTAGGTCTGAACTTTTTTGAGTTCTAGGCTTACCGGCTTACCTATGCTTCTCGGAATGGGCCTGGCCATCCATACCTGTGATTGAACGTATCGCACTCCGTCGGGACTTCGGCCCTCTGTTTACGGTTGAGGGACAAGGGTTCACCGTCCGATTTTGCTGGTTTCGGCATGTGCTATTCATGTGTCCATGCGTTGAAGGTGGCTTTCCATCTGCTCACGCAGCCCCGGGCAAAGACCCTTATGACTAGTTTCGTCTCTTGCAATGGTGGCATCAAACGCCGGTCCTCTGCTAATGCCGCACTGACATACTGCACCGCTGATCCGTCGGTTGTCACGGCGCTCAGAGCCACCTGCAGAACAGTCCGCTTGAGCCCGCCCGAATGCAGCGGGCTAGTCTCAGTCGGAATTTTTGTAGTCTTAATGTTGCCAAGCGGAGGCCCCGACCAACAAGTGCTGGAGACCTGAGGTCTGCTAAATGTGAAGCTGCAGCAGATGTCGGTTGGCGAATCCTAGCTCAACATGTGTCATGGGAAAAACTTTGGGATTGACATCGGAGACAAGCAGGAAGAATTCATCGACTCACAGTGGCTGCGGAAAGCCTCGCCCATCCCGCGCCTCTCGGTCTGCTTTCAATGGCTCCGCGGCATGGCGTACCTCAGCGCAACGCTCAACACTGCTACACTTCGCTCTCATTCCTGTTCTTCTCAAGTAAGCTCCGTGCAGCAAAGCCATCATTTGCGACTGCTGCCATCACGATTTCTCTGTCAGCCTGGCCGACGATGTTGCTTCGAGCAGGGGATGATCTGCGAATCGCTTGGATTCGGCGTTGCCTTGAGGGAGTCGTCTAGATATCGAAGCACGAAGCCACGGTCCCTGACCGAAGTCAAGGCAATCTCCCGGTCTGCACGCAGCTCCGGCGCCGCATGGAGGATCGCAAATCCCGTATTTTTCACCTCTCTGAGCTTCTTTGGTAATTTCTTGTAGAAGAGGAAACGGCAGGAAGCTTCGAAGATCTTAAGTTCTTGCTAGGCAGCGGCGGCCAGAACGATATCCCGATCTTGGCAGAGCGGTTCCGGAAGGGTCTCCAGGCCTGACACTGTTTTTGGCATGTTCGCACTTTCAGGCTTTCGGCTCAGTCTCTGGGACCCTGTGTGGCCCGGGGCTGCGCATGCTTTTTTTCTGGGGCACCAGCTCAGGCCGTTGCTGCGTACCGACTGCAATGCCTTGGCACGCGCCGGGTCTTCTCGCAGCAGCACCAGCTCCAGTGACCTTGGACCGACTTGGCCACGTCGCGGGAGCGGGGGAAGCAGAGAGAGAGAGAGAGAAAGAGACTGAAAGACTGCCAGAAAGGAGTTGCGAACGCCGTAGCCCTAAATCACCCAGTCCCTCGAGTCCCTGCACCTGATGTTACCGTTGTTCCCATGCGGTTTCCGGAAGGGAGGGCCACAAGCAGTTTTTCGACTGATGGAGTCGAGCGACAATCCTGGTGCAGTATCATTGCCCAGCTTGCCAACAACCTCTTCATCCCTCAGCTCGCGTGCGCCGTAGATCAGTTGCTGCTCGATGCACGGTATCTCCGTCAGCGAGCAGATGCAATTCTTGACATCCTGAGCTCGGCCACGCTTCCAGCAACTCAGCAACATGTTGTGCGGGTGGTACAGATGTGCCCAGTGTCCAGAATGGTGCTTTCCACATCGCAGTGCAGGGCACAGATGAAGCCAGACAGCCCATTCAAACGTAGCTCCATGAGCACGGCGGGTCTGGGATGCTTCTTGTTGAAACCACCTTGAAGCTGTCCGGCCTGTGGGTATGGCCTGCGTATGCTGACCTGGCTGTAAAAATCCGCATGACTGCTACAAATGCATGGGCAGAGCTGACAACTGCTACTGGAAGTGACTCTAGTGAGCCGAAAACAAGGACCGATCTAGCTTGGAGTCTCTTGCACGCGGCGGACTTGTCTGTTGAGTTGTGAGCAGTTGCTAGCTGCTTGAGCTTCTTCACCTGCTCCTAGGCAGCACAGGCCCCTGTCCCTCGTCGTGCTCACAAAAGCCGGTGACTCCTTCGTCTTTTCCTCGGCTGCCTCAAGATCCTGAAAAGAGATCTCCGCGAGTTTCCTGAATTCGACGCAGGCAGTGGCCTTCCGGAGCGATGCAACCTCCTCAAAGCTTCCGCTCGTGCTCAACCTTGAAGCCCCGAGGCGACAGCGGCGACAGGCTGTGAATCCTCCAAGGCATGTCTCGGCTGTCTCGGTCTCAGGCGTCTCCGACGAGGATGGAGAAGCCTGCAGTGGCACGACTCGACGACACGACTTCCACAGGTCAGCTGCGACTTCGCATGGCCTGAGCACCTCCCTTGAAGTACTCCAGCTCTTTCCTCAAATCTCACCGGGCTCGCAGAGACACTCCTTGAAGTTCCACAAGCAGCTGAGCAGCCCCTGCTGATCGAGCTGTTTCGCCTGCTTCTTTGCCAACTGCCTCGGCACTCGGTGAGTTGGACTGCCAAAGCTCTGCCCGGAGAATCTGACAAGGCACTCCAGCTGCTCGATGCGTGTCTGCGCCTCTTGCGAGCCCTGCACGTGTCAGGAGGATAATTTCAATCTTGCCTCAAGTTCCATAGATCTCTGTACAATCTCAACCACCCTCGAACCCCTCTCCCTCTTCGTCCTCCGCAGAACTTCCAGTGGGTCTCGGCCTCCCTTCGAGGTCTAAAGCCAGCTGGGCGACGTCCTACCAGTAATTGAGGCTGCAAATTGTGTAAGAGAGTCACAAAAGGGGAGGGGACCCTGACCCTCCTTCTCCCAGCGCTCATGGAGCTGAGCTAGCTCCGCATGCTCCTCAGCTGCCTCCTCTTCGGTGGGCCTTAGCTCGGAAAAGATGATATCTCGCTCTTCGCCCAGCCTCCACCGTCGGCCGTGTCTGAGCATCCGGCATGCCTTGGAGCTCCCCCGGAAGCGAAAGATTCGGAGACTTTGCCTGGAACCAGGCTGCTTGGTCTTTCAGCCGCTGCGCCACAGACCTCACATCCACAAACATCTTGCGTCCGGAGCGGTAGCAGCCTCCCAGCGAACCGAGTCACTGCATGTGAGCCAGCTTCCTCCGCGTCTTCTGAAGCTCGCCTGCCACAGCTGCAGGGTTTCAAGCAACAAACCGAAATTCACTCTTCCCGCCTCGCACGAGGGCGTTCTGGGATCGGTTGACCTGCTGAAAGCTTTGCAGCTTCAGCGCCATCTTCGCCTCGTCTCCTCTGGCTCGATTCATCTCGGCCTGTGTCCGTGGTGGGGAAGGGCCAGGCATGCAGACAAGCTCGAACTCACCACAAGCTTGGTGGCACATTGCACCCGGGCTGTGTCCCCCGTCGAGCCTGCGCCTCCTGCAGTTGTGCCTGGGCGGCTTCCTCAGGTGTTGCAACATGGATGTCGCAAACGATGGCGGGCGACGTGCTGAGGAGACTCCAGCTGCTCCGTGAGGTGGCTGTACTTTTCCTCCATCTCCGGATGCATCTGGGCATCATCGAAGCCCAAGTCCATCATCTGCTGCATTCTCGAATTCGTCGGCAACATCGATCTGTCGGCCATTGTCGGGTCGTAGACCTGCAACGCCCGGTGCCTTCCCTTGTCTCGGTCCCAGGTATTGTGCTTGCAGCCTGCCTTTGGCTTCTGGAAAAGCTTTTCCGCCATCACTTCACGGCCGTGGGTTGCCCAGGCAGCCGTCGAAACTCCACTGCTCTTTTGAGCAGTGTATCGGATAGCGGTCTAAGAGGCACAGCTTGCAGAATGGATCTCGGGTTTCGTATCAAGGATGCATCGTTGGTGAACTGTCAGCTTAGGCTTTGGGGTCTCAAGCTTTCGTTGATGCCAACACTGCTTCTTCAACTGGAAACCATCTCGTCTCGAATTCCCCAGGGAGGCTCTTTCCGACACCCTCCCGGCAAAAGTGCTAGAGCCTTCGGATGCACCCAAGGCACGTGAGTTTGGTCCGGATGATCGTGTCTGCAGTACAGTCTTAGGTCCCAGGTGTTGTTCGGCACAGAGCGGGACAGCAAACAGCATTTTCGCGGCGTGCATCCTTCGAAATGCTTCGCTTTCTACGCTTGTTGCTCAAACCGGGCATGAAGTCGCCCTGCGTGGCCAACAACACATGCCCACACTGCTGCACTGCTGCCGGTCTTCCCAATATGTGGCCTCCAAGCACTGGGTCGATATGTAGGACGGCAGCACCACACGCTGCCACGGTGCACCTCCAAACCAGGTCACCTCGGCAAGGCCGCATCCACGGGATTCCACGGGTGGTTGCACGGTTGCACACAACAACCTCCCGCCATGATGACTGAGGGCGGCCACCGCTAGTGGAAGCTCCCTTGCGGGGCGACTGCTCTTCGTCCAACGCTCTGCGCGGAGAACATCACAAAGGTTCTGGCATCGCCGGTGCAAACCGCCCTGAAAAGGCCCAGGTGCGGAAGCTTTCAGAGCAGAAATCAAAAAAAGAAGACGCCAAGCCTTTAAGGGCACGAGCTTTCGAGAGCTTGCTGCACGCTGGCGCTTTGCTCGCCATTCAAAGCGGGCGGCATCCTCCTTTGTTGGGAAGCCCTTGACCTTGGCTTACCACAACAGTTTTCGGAGAGCAGGAGCATTGTTGTGATCCTTGCTGCCATCGAAAGCTGTTTGCACTCGTGCCGAGCGTCCATGCAAAGTACCCGCCATGGGCCTCCCCGGCGTGTAGCCCTTGCGCCACCACGCAGCTCACCGTTGTGTTGCCGCAGGCGCCTCTTGAGGTCCGTCGTGATGCCGGTGTAGGTCCTTCCCAAAGCTTTCTCAGCCCTTTACGCGGGCTCCGGGGGAGACGGAAAGGCCTTGATGCCTGCCTCGTTAAAGTTCAAGTTTCACTCAGAACAACCTTCCTGCTCCTTATTCAAACCGAACTTCGATGCGAGCACCGCAGCTTCTTCGTGAAATGCCGAATGTCCTCGCACGGGCAGAGTTGTCCGACCGGAGCACATAGCAGCAGTAACCTGGAAAGCAGCGCACGCACGTAACCTTGCGACAACAACTCTGTGCCACTCCACACCGTCACCGGACAATGCGGCCACCAGTTTATGTTGCAGCGGCATGCACAATCCATGTTAAGTCAATGAAGCAATTAGTAGCCTTCGCTGGGTACTGCATCCTCGCTGGCCTCCTGCAGGGCTTCACAGGATTCCACAGGTACCACAGCTGCAGCTCGGCGCGAGTGCCTCGTCGCTAATCTCGATGACCTTCACCTCCTCTCTCTGCTCACCACTTGAGCCTGCAAAGGGACCGACTCGCTTTGCAAAGACCCACAAAAACAGCCCACTGCACCAGTCAGCCCACGGACCGCCTGCTATTTCCCTCCGGGCTGACCATGCTGCGGCCGCGGCGGGGCGCTTTCGGGCACGAGCCATGAAGCAACGTGTGTGGTGTGCGAGGATGGCTCAAACGTGATCTATGCAGCAGTGCTTTTCCAAATCCATTCTGGTGGTTCTAGCAGATTCTGGCAGCTGCTAGGTTTCATGCAGATCTAAGCTGCACACCAACCTTCCATCGGAGAGCCAGACAACAAAATTCCGATCACACTTGAAAAAGTCTCTTCTGGCTCACAGGCTTGCCACCACCAGCTTTTCACAGGGCTGCGCGCTTTGACGCTTTGGCTCTGTGGAGAGTCAGCCAGAACCGCGCTTCAGCTCCTGCACGTCCATGGGTGTGGGCTCAAAGCCGCTTGAGGTCGCGGCCAGCGCGGCCGAGGAGCCGCGTCCACGTCCGCCAATGAGACGAGTCCGAGAAGCCGCGGCCTCGAGGCGGCAGCGCTTCCATGGCCGCAACGTGAGGATGGCTGCAGAATTCTGAGGAAGCGACGGGGTGTCCAGAGATGGCAGGTCCTGCACAGACAGGATCCTTCGGAAAAAAGACAGGTTCGAGTGTGGTGCGTCCTCGAAAACGGCGAGGCGCCCTTCGGGGCCGAGTCGAAGTAGCTCTTGCCGCGCAGCTTCCAGGGGCATGGACCTGGTTTCCAGAAGCTGTGGCACTAGGAGCATCCTGCGAGCACCTGAATACCCTCCTGAGTGCACAACGGCTCGACAGCAGAGACCTGAGGACGGCTCGAAGTCCCAAAGGAACCATCAGCCTTCTGAGGATTTTGGGCTTCTGGCGTCGGGCGGCAGCTCCTGCAAGAAAGGGACTGTGACAATCGATCATGCTCACTCCCTCAGCTGCCTCCCCGGCAGATTCGCACTGACAGAGAAGCCTGAGAGGCTCGCCTGTCGCTTTCGGCGCGTTCCCGCTACTAGTAGCAGACTGCGACGAGTACTGTCCGATCGGGCCTTGGGAGCGTGCAGCTGAAGGTGGTGCCTGGGGCGTGCAAGCTCTGCGAAGTCCGCCGATCCGATCGTTTTTTGACGCCTGTGGGGAGTCCGCTGGCATCCACTGGCTCATCATCTTGGGTATTCCCCTAGACAGCAGGTCTTCCACGTACACAGCCACACCTTGCAGGAATTTGGGAGGTCAAGACCCAGCTGGCAGCTGCACCATACTAGGGAATATGGGGGGTCGCGTTTTGCGGAAAGTGTGCCTACAGCTGCGACGGTCGGGAGAACGACCCCGTAATCCTTCCCACCAGCCAGCTCGAGGAGAAGCACCACAGCTGTCAGCGGCACATTGCAAATAGAACCAAGGCAAGCAGCCATGCCGACGATAGCATAGGTGGCAGGTACAGAGAAGACGAATGGCCCCTCGCTCTTGAAGATAGACAGCTCCGGCAGCCAAAGCGCCCACGGCCACAGGAAATCTCGCAGGCTTCGGCCTACCAATCCTCCTAAGCACGCACCGATGAACAGCGCAGGTGCAAAGAGACCACCCACCTGTCCAGAGGACTGGCACACCGCTGTGAGGAAAATTTTTGCGACGATGAGCAGAAACAGATGAGTGAGAGGGTCACCAGAAAACGCATCTGGCGGCTGTCGAGAGCCATCGACCTCTTTCAATATGAGGTTCACGTTCTCAAATCCCTTGTACAAAACCTCCCCAAGGTTCCCGTAGAAGGAGACGGCGGCCACCACTGTGGCAGCCAGCACGGGGAAGGTGAACCTGTTGCAAGGTGGAAAAAGAAACCCAAAAACAACTCTAAACAATTCTAAACCCAACGAAAAGCGCAGGCGCAGTCCGATTCCGACTTCAGTCGCTGTCCGGTCGTTTCGGGCCGGGCCCCCGGGCCTTGGAGCACCCGAAGCCTCCAGGCAGTCAAAGGCGCCTTTGGCCACTTGGCGGGTGCTACGCAGCATGAAGGCTGCAGTGCCACAGAGGAATCCCAAGGACATGAAGACTGGCAGCTCCCAGAGAGAACGTGTCGGTACCCAGCCGAAGAAATCAAGATCCACCGCAGGGCTGGAGCCAAGACCCAATTGAGACACCTCGATGCGAACTGCATTTATTCTGTTACCATCTCTGACACGTGGACTACCTTACAACTGGCCTTTGATTTATGTTTCTCTGTACATGGCTTGATCAGCCTGAAGCTGGAGTACAGCAGTTTGGTCCTGGGCGCATACACTGGTTGCTTCGGGTTTTGATTGCAGCTGCGGCTCGGTGGCAGCCAACACGGCCGCCAAGAGCTGCATGGGAGGGCCCTTTGCTCGCGCATCCTCGGGCGCGCAGTTGGACTGAATCGACTCCAAGGAGAAGAAAAGCCCCGCCACCGGCGCATTGAAGCCAGCTGCAATGCCACTCGCACAGCCTGCTGCAAGCAAGTTCTGGCGCAAGGCCCGTTCGGAATCAGTTTCAGGAATTTCCTGATTCTGATACCCAGACAAGCTGGCAGCCACGTTGGCTCCGATCTCCACGCTCGGACCCTCCGGGCCCAAAGAGTTGCCACCGGCCAAGGTCAAACCAGCGGCCAAGGCCCGCAAGGGCGCCTCGCTGCGGTCTTTGGGCGGTGCACCGCCCGAAGCCTTCAAGGAGGCCAGGTCCGAGGAGCCTGAAAGGCCTTTCTCTCCGCGCAAGAGCAGCAGCAGACTCACGAATAAAGCAGAGATCACGGGGGCCAGCACGCCAGGCCCGCCAAGGCCTGGAAGTTCCAGCAGAAAGTCTTGCAGAAGGTGGACAAAGTCGTTCAACAGCACAACTATTGTGCCAGTGGCAAGACCCGCAACTGAGGCGAGAAACAGGGGAGAAGAAAGCGCACCGTTTGCCCGCATCGCAATTCGTTCACGAGGGATGGGTGCCACCCGACGGCCCAAGTGGCTGGGCAAGGAACGGATAGGCATCGCGTCAAATCGGCTACAGCTTTGGACGAAAGTGCTTGAGGAGCTCCACGTCGCCGTGCGGACTGGCACCCTCTTTTGAAGAACCGCCCCAGCCATCAAGGCCTCAGTATGCCCATGGATGCTGGAACTGAACTGCCCACTGCGAGCCCACAACTCGCGAGTAAGCTTCTGACCGACAAGCCGGCACATGCCCGCCGCTTTCGAGCCGATTTCCTCATCCCGTGTCTACTTTGGAAACACAGATCTGAAAAGAAACCAGCCTTTCGTCAGGTTAGATTCGGGAATTGACCGATCCATTCTTTCATGCGATGCTGTGCACGGAGTTTGCATGTCTTCATCTGATTGTCGGTCTGCATCTGATCGAGCCATCCAGGAATATGGGCATATGCAGATGATCGGCTCTCAAGAAGCGACGAGAACCAAAATCGGGCGAATATGACTGAAAAGAAACTGCGTTGAGGGATATTTGGCTTCAACAAATGCGGCACGTTATGTTGAAGTGTAGGGCTTCAGAGATCGGCAAACACCCTCAGAGGAAGGCAGACGGAGACCATGTAATGTGTGAGTCACTCCCATAGGCCCTAGGGCCATATAAGATCGATCATATAGACGTTCTCCACCGACCCGGTCCGAAAAGAGAGGTCATGTTGCCGAAGACTTTTTGTTCCACACGAAGCCGCCAGCGGAAGGTGGCAGACGTCAGGTGCCAAGGCCAGGCGTGGGCGCTTGGCCGGGCAAGCGGTGGCCTGTTCGCCGGAGCCTCTCAGCTTCGGCCTCGGTCTCGGAGGAAGGCAGTAGAAGCGCCGCCCCAAAAAAGCCGAAAGGGGGCGAAAGGGGGCGAAAGGGGGCGACAGGCGCCGGGCGGCCCGTCTCTAAGGCCTGGCACAGTTCCAATTTCCCACTCGCCATGGGCCCTGAGACTTTCAGTCGCGATCCGGCAGAAGCTTGGGGCTTGGGGCTTTCCGAGAGCTTGAGAGCTTGACCAGGTGCACTGGCCAGCCTCCTCCAGCCGGGGAAGCGCAAAAACTTCTGCAGTTAGCGCTGCTGAAACTCCCATCTGCCTGGCTGCACTTGCCTTGCTCCCAGAACTTGCAGATGCTTCTACGTACGTTGACAACCTTGCGCGGAAGAAAGCTCTGCATGCCGCGAATTTGTTCATGCACATCATATACAGCGAGTGCAACCTTCAGGTGCTGCCTCCTGCAACGAATCGAAGCCGGCTTGCAACCGCGGACCGCGCCTCGGGCATCACCAGCGCTCCGCCCTTCCACGGTGGAAGTACCTTCGTGCCTTCGAGTTCGCGGAGCGATGGCACGCATCGAGACGAATCGCCGCACACACAGTTCAGGGCCTCCTTTTGAAGCTGGAGGGCTGTGCGCCGGCAGCGTTTCCATGCGGTCCTCCGGAAGAACTAAAGAGTGAAGTCGCTTGCTGAAGAGCTCCTCGCTTGATTCCTAATCCCAGGACCCGTCACATCTCATCGTCAGAGACACGACGGCAAGTTACTGAGTTTGGCAGGTGCAAGATCTGATTTTCCGGCAAACCTGGCGCGATCAGCGAAAACACACGCCCATTCACTGGGTCACCGCTCTCGTTGCGAAGCTCGCATCTCACGTCCCGGACAACCTTTGGATTGAGTAACAATTGCCGTTTTGTCGCAGCTGAGAGCACAAAGAACTACGTTGTGGCCTGGAAGTTGCGCTGTCGTGCCAGCGACAAGATGTATGCGTGGCTGTGGGCGATACGGCCCGACCCCTGGCACTCCGGAGGGCCGAGCAGTCAGGTCACGAAGTTCTGCCGACGATGCCTGCAGCTGGTAGCCGGAACACTCATCTTCCGGCTCCTCCGTTGAGAATACGAAGAGGCCTCCGCATCATTCGACTATCTTCACAGTCCAAGTGCCCAGTGTTTGCGATCCCCAGCCTCTTTCTGGGCTGAGATTCTGCAGAACGAGGCGGAAGACCGCGGAGAGGTCGGTAACCTCGGGGGCGTGCCAACAGGAAGCGTTCCATTCAAGATGGGCACTGTCGTGCCAGCAAGCAGCGTAGCCGAAGACGTCTGCAGCAGCAATCAGGTCGAAAGATGCCCCGGAGCCTTCGTAGGCCTCGGCTTCGGCTGTTCTCCAAACACCCAGACTTTGAAAGCCATTCTGCACTCTGCAGTCTCGGCACCGTCAAATAGCGAATCATCTCCGAGCAGTGCAGCTCGTCATAGCATCCTTTTGCCTGCGCCTGAAACTGTTCCAGCACAATCCAAAACCAACAAACCCTTCCAACAACTGTACACCGGAAAAACAAAAAAGGCAGAGCCTTCTCACACATCATCAAATCCTTGTAAAGCTCGCTACAACCGCATACAGCCAGCAAAGCGGGATGACAGAGTTCATATTCGGAACCCTCACCCTCACCTTTTCCACCAATAGCAGAAGTTCGACTCGCGGGACGGATGCATGTCAAGGTCCCACTGGGAGGAAGGACTCGAAAGTCGAAACAGCATGCCCCTCTAGAGTAGTTTGAGTCTTAAACTCTGAAACCCAGAAGTTCAGGGCCCGTGCACTCCGCGAAACACATAGCAAGACACTGGCGATCAGAACTTCTCCCAAAATCTAGATACTCGTATACCTGCACCAGACATAGGCTCCTCATATGATTTGAGGAACAGTCGTCAAAAGAATGTAGTATATAGATGATGCAGAAGCCACCCACGGAGACCATGTAACAATAACATTCAACTGTAATCCAAGCCAAGCAATTCTGCTAGTGCCTCCCAAGCACCCCTGACATGCAGATCAACCAAGCTTCAAACAATCTCTGAGTGACTCTTTGGTCTTTCCAGGACGGCCCTATGCAAGGTTCACACAATGTTCATGCATGCAGAAATTGCTCTGATACCCTATATGCTCTTGCAGGATTGCTTTCAATGCTTGAGACGGTCAACCCTAAACCTTTAGACATTTAAACCCTGATTCGTAAGCCGTGGCTATCCGACTTGGATGCTGAGTCACCCTGGTCACTCATGTCACTGCAGAGAAAAGAGCCCGAGACCCCTTAAGTGCGGAGCATTTCTTTTAAAACAGGCTCTCAGGAATGATATGTACATGTATAGTCAAGGTGCAGCAAAGAAGGAGCGTTAAACGTTCCGAAGTGGCAGGTAGCCCAGTAATCCATAGCAAGTGGTAAGCAACATGCAATAACCATGCAGATAAGTTCAGATCCTCGAAATCGCACAGCCTTCAACTGCTATCATTACAACAACTAGTCTTGCACTTCAGAGATGCCCTCAAGCTCTGAAGCAGCGCGGCACTCGGGCACAACGAAGTCGGCCAGGTACAGCCAGAGTTGGTTGATTCTGCCTGTCTGGCCGCTTGAACCTTGATCCGCCTGACTGCGGGCAGAAAGCTTGGCCACGCGGGCCAACATGTACTTGCGGGGATCATCCAACATCCTGAAGCACAAACCTTTGCTCAAGTACTTCGGCTCGCCTGCTCCAGTTGAAGCATCCTCGGCATATCGCTTGACTTTGGAGCGGACTGATTCCCAATCTGTGGGTCGGATAAATCTGCGAAGACTTGGCATGTCAGCGTTGTCTGCAAGCTCTTCGTACTTCAGATGGACCTGGCTCACATGTTGGTGTCTTTTCGTTGTGTCAACGAGTAGCATCATCTCGGCGAGATTTGGCGATGATTGTAAAAGGGAGCATGCAGATGTGCCAGAGTCGCATGAAAGGGCACGGTGGGATCCGTCTGCTCGGCTAGCCATGGCCTGTCTGATCACGCTTCGCGAAATGTCCTGCATCTCTGCCTCAGGAACAGGTTGAGGCTCGCTGTCTTGTCTCATTGCCAAAAGGTGAAAACAGTCGCCCGTGCCATAGAGATTGGCCAGCGAAACGTGAAAAATGTCGACCCCCACACGATTGTTTGCTGCGCCTTGCAGTGATACTCGAAGGCACGGTGGCATGCCACCTTGCATTTCTGGCTCCACATACCGCCTGGATGCTGCAATGAAGTCGTAGAAGCGATCATGTTCCTCTTCGGAATCCACCAGCAACTCCAGAAAGCACCTGTCGCCCAAGTCCCCACTGGTAGACAGGATGGTATTCAAACACGCACCGCTGCCCTGGATCTTGAGTTGGCCATTTAGCAGAACCTCCCCATCACAAATGCCACGAAGCATGCGTCGAAAACCACCCACCATCGCCTCTGCGTCGTCCGACCGGAATTGTGCTGCCAAGCTTTCCTTGCATGATGTTCACCCGCTTTAAATGTTCTCGTCTAAAAACGCACTCGCAAAAAAGGTTCCAAAGCTAAAGCTGGCATCTCTCATGTAGTAGTCCAGCGCAACGCTGAGCACTGCGGCGCCGAGCCAAATACAAGCTTCGTTGCACACGTATGCTAGCACCTCTGTGCTGATTCCATGTGTGCCCACTCTTATCATGGAGTCAACACCCGAGATTACGAGCTGTCCTGGGATCTGGTCACGAGGGTCGATGTACAACACGACCATGGTCATGCGCCAAAGCGCATTCAGTGTCTGAAACATGGCCATTTCTGAAGTTGCCAGGGCCCTTGCCACCCAGCACTCTGCACAGGATACCACAACATGCAGGTATGTGTACATCCTGATCCGGCGCACTGACATCTTCAGTCGGCCGTGTGCAGCGGCAGAATGTACCACCCAGATCAAGCCGGATGATAAAGCAAGCAGTCCGTCTTCCTCGACATGAAGCAGCACGGTGACTGCCAAGAATACACAATGTTGCACGAGCTTGCTCACGTAGAAGAAATTCCTGGGACTGTGTGTCGAATTCCTTTAACATCCCCAGGCACTCCGTACCGCAGACTGTTTACCAAGCATCATCACTGTGGCCCTGTGGCTACTATGCAATGCCCTCAATCCTCAGAATACCCCCCATCACCACGTCGCTTGAGAACACCACTAACCCCACTTTGAACGAAAGATAAGCTTCTTCTCCACCAACAGCCCCATGGCCGCATTTACGCGTGCCTCTTGTGGGTCGCAGGCGGTCCCTTGCCCGAGGCCGGCCTTGATACATGTGTGGAACCACTTCGTAACCTCCAGGCCCACGTCCTCAGTCGTCAGAGACCCGGCCGCTTGGGTTTACAAAGTCGTGCCCTTACGGTGCTATTGAAAGTGAAGAAAAACTACTCATATGAACACTGGAAACGAAAATCGGAAACTCAGGCAGATGCTCGTCTACCAACTCCATAGCAGTGTAACCCTCCAGCCAGGCATCTTTCACGTTTAACAAGCAATGGATCGCGATGAACAGGTTGGCGAAGACGTGCGGTGTATTGCTGGATGCGGAAGCTGACCACATGGCTCACTGTAACAACAATACCGATGATAGTCAAGGTCATGATCACACAGACTTGTGTACATATGTACAAAACTTCAATACACATATATGTACGCAATTACTGTAAACACATATATATATATATATATATATATATATATATATATGTAATTAGGTATTTCATAAGAACAGCTTCTTTGGGCAGATGTGCGCAGCCACATACCTGCGCAGCTCTTATACTTCTCGGCAGCGTACATGCGACTCTCCAAGGTGCAGTCTCAGAGTGCAGACCTTCGTCACTCGCCTTCTGCAGCATCTGGGCTGACAGGTCTACCGCCACGAGGTGTGCTCCAGGCGCTAAGTCCCGCAGCTGCTCGCCGAGCAAGCCAGTGCCTGCTCTGCACAACAGCACTGCGGACCCTCCTGGAAGTTCTGCAGCTGGCAGCAGCTGGCCTGCCCCAAGATCAAGCATGCGCCGCAGGCGGCAGGGCTCACGACCCTCCTGGCTCCATCGAATTGCCTGCACAGCGGCCTCTCATGGCCTCTCGCCTCTCATGGCCTCTCGCCTCCTCTCGCCTCTGCCTCTGGACTCGGATTTTAATTCACACAAGGCTTTGGCCTGCACGACCAGCTGCGGCACTTGGTAGCCCAGTGACTCCAAGCTCGCATCAAAGCTGCTGGCATAGTGGTCAAAGAGGCTTACGACATAGGATGGCGCGATTTCGGCGGGTGTTCTTCGCTGTATGACGGCAAGCAGATGCTTGGCCAGGTCGATGCGGAGGCTTCTCTCCGTGAGCCCTGGTGTTCGCAAACGCCGCTCTTCCGCAATCTCCTGCACGTCTCGGCCGGGCTGAGGGCTCGCATGAGACTCTCATTTCACTCCTGTCTTAGTCTTTGGCATCCGATCCAGGTGTCTCTTGCAAGCAGCGGCAGCTTCGCCGCGCCACGCGTCGCACTGGGTACGTCGAAGCCTGAGAGCACTGGGCGTGGAGGCGGACAAAACTTGTCCTGACGGAGCACGGTTTCGTAGTTGCATCCCAATCCCTCTTTCAGGTTGCGGATGCTCTCCGAAACATTCCCAGCACTGTCTTGACGTTTTAGTAGAAGTCGCCAGTTTCAGGAACTCAGCCAAGAAGCCGACGTTGCAGCAGCTCCGCCAACTCTAGAAAGGCCCGCTTGTGACGAGGCTTCTTCCGCGTGAGGCGTCGCAAGTGCCGCAGACGCGCCTGCAAAGCAATTTGCAGGGGTGCCTTCAGAGCACAGAGACTATGACTATCGCGAGAGAGAGCGAGAGAGAGAGAGAGAGAGAGAGAGAGCGAGCGGATCACTCACCTCGGGAAACGCGCCCTGTGAGCGGGCACTGCGCCGCACCAGCTCCCTCTTCGGCCCCCACCTTGCCACAGCCGCATCCGAAAGTGATGTCATCAGGTCATAACAGCCGCCGGGCCTGGCCACGCCTCGCAGAACGCGCTGAATCGGCATCACTCTGAGCCGTCTGATCCATGGCTCGTCATGAAACCCACACAACCTCTGACTTCCGACAATTCTGCTACTGATACTGCGACTTCGACTGCTGAAGCCCTGCTTCGTCATTTTCATCATTTTTCTCTGACGAGCCGAAACAGTACTGCTCGAGTACCAATGGTCCACCGCAAAGAAGCAGCGCTCAGCCAAAATGCGCTCCTCTTCACCGTGTGCCCATGTGCAAGTCTCACCGCGAGAGCACTGGCCCTGCCAAGCGAGCATGTAACGGCCCTTGTAGACTCCCTCTGTCCAGTCTTTGCACTGTTTCTTGAACTGTCGGAGCTGTCTCTGGCTATTGAGCGATGACTACAAGCCCGACCGACTGTCTGGCCAGCGAGCTCCATTCCAGTGTCCGTAGGCTTGATCCCTCAATGTCATATGCCGATGCTGGATGTGACGGGCTTCCATCACTTGCTACGAGGTAGCCAGGGTGAGTCTGGTGGTTACGTGTCGCTCGATTTTCTTTTGCTGTAAACTGCAGATTTATTTTCCGCTTGCGATTTTTTACACATATCGTCCCTTCATAGAAGACCTCTGCCAAGAAAACCTTGCCACCCACATGATTCGCACGCTTTGCCCTGCACAGCTAGTCACCCAGTCATCAGAAGTTACTTCCAATTCATTGCTGGACTCAACAAGTGAAAGAACGGCCTTTACCGATTCAGCTCATTCGGCCTATTTTCGCCACTTGCCTCCAGCCAAAACTTGCAAATCGTCTTTTTCAAGGGCTGCTCTGCAACTCCCTTACCGCCGTTCCAGCCTTGGATGTTTTCATGTGATGAGCACGTCTTGCCAACTGTACGGTGCTTGGCTCAGCCGATTGAGCAAAGGTAAATTGTGGGATGCAGGATCGTACTCACATTCTTGCGGGTTGCCTTGCATACTCGTGAGACACGGACGGTGCAGATCTCGCTGTCCACCCTAGGAGGCCCTCGCACTTAGACTTGAGTGCTGTGCGGCTTGCTGCGACTGAGGTGGAACCCCTTCCGCTTGCATGCACAACCCACCAACCACCGGTCGATGCTTCCCGACACAACGAGCTGAGCCCCGGGCTTGGGACAGTCCCAGTCTGTCCCCGGTTCAATTCCTCGATGGAATGTGCGAAGAGGTCCCATGTCATTGGAGGGCTGAGGCTATCACCACGGCTGAAGGAAGCGCCTCGCATTGGCGGGCAGACGCCCAGAACTGTGCTGACAGCTCGTGGCCTGAAAGGCACCGGTGAAGACCTTGCTCACACCGAAGTGGCTCAAACCTGGCTCAGCCCAACTCGCCCAGTCCGCGTGCCACACAGCTTGGCCGCAAACACTCGGTCTCCTGCTGTGCCGTGGAGGTTCCTGGCACAAAGGAGGGCGACGATTGCCATCACAGCCCAGTGCAGCTCTCGAATTTCTTTTGCTCCGCACTTGCTGCTTCTGCTCCTAGTCCTAGTCCAAACAACGCAGCGGCGTAGCTACCGGGTCAGTGAGAATGGAGTGGTAAAGCCTTTGGCTTGCATCAACGTGGCAAAGGCTTCGAAGAGCTTGAAGTTCGCCTCGGATGCTGAAGAACTGCATGAAAAGGATATGGTACTAGCTCCTCAAGTTAACAGCTGCGAGCAGAAGTGCCTTCTGCATCATCTGTGAGCCCAGCCGTAGGTATGTCAATGACTTGAGAGCAGGTTTCGACACCAGCCTGGGCTGGAATTCATTACAATTTCTGGTCATCTTACTCCGTATTCAATTATCTAGAAGTCGCATAGCACCATAGCACCTGCAACACTTGGCAGGCAACATCTGGTTGTAGCCAGCAATAGCCGTTACGTCCAGCGCATTCTCTCCCGTGAGCGAAGCTTTGGCTGTGTGGGTGGCCTCGTTGTGCGTGCCCATGATGCGACACGATGTGAGCGGCTTCAAAACTGGTGCCGCGTATGGACAGTGTTCTCATCTGAGGCGGTGGCTGTGATAACCTGAAAAACGAGCTCTTGTGGCCCGGAATATGCATCGGTTGGTTGGGAGGCGTCTGTCATCTCCATGCAGGTGAAGTCAAAGTACACGTCGAAGCTCTTGAAGAGTCGTGCAAGTCGCAAATACCTGTGCGGGGAGGCAGTCTGCAACAGTTTGTGTGGGATGGGTGTAGATGCCCAGGCTGAAGCTTGGGCTAGCTGCGGCTGGTTGTTGTTCGCGTTGTAGTAGCCAGCTGTCAGCTCGGCTGCGTGAGATGGTGTCTTGTACATCCAGTGAACGCCTGAGGTGAGGTGTGCATCTGCATGTGCGATGTCCTAAATCACACGGAAAATGCGGCTTTGGCTCCTGCAACTTTGGCAGAGAGGTCCACTGCATGACGAAACACGCCGCGAGCTGCTCGTAAAACCGTCTTGGCATGCCTCTCCAATGACTCGGCATACCAGTCGAGGAAAAATCGTCCTCAGGGCTGCACCGCTCGTGTTCATGACAGGAAGTTGCGCAGATTCTCTCACTGGCCTTGCCTCGTGCTGTCTTGTAGCCATCCGTAAAGAAGCGCGTGCTGTTCCAAGTGCTGTTGTAGTTTCCTGTATCACTTGGCGGTGGGGGTTGGCCCCAGTCCGGCGGCCGTCCTGCCAAAGCTTACAAAGATGGAGTGGAGTATGTCCATCCAGTGGAAGTTCTGCATAGAATGACATCTGGTTCGGGTACAGCGGCTGTGTGGGACAGCTGGCGAAGGCGAAATGTGGAAGGGATTCGTGGGAGTAAGTTTTCAACAAGCTGAAGATGCCACAACAAACAAAAACCGCAAAGCTATGTGACCATACTTGACTTCTGAATCCTCGCGTCCTGCTTTCTTCGCAGATTGCTTAAGGGATTCCAGAGCGTGCACGTCGAAGCATTGGAACTCCCCGATGCCCGGATATTGCCAGGGGCCATTCCTTGTGCAGTGCTTGACGGACGTTCTGATGGGACTGAAAAATCATTTCCCCCGTTTTCAGAATTGTTGCCATCACATCCCCCTATCTAGAGCGCCAACTTGCAAGCTGAAGCTACTATCAATGGACCAATCACCCGGGCAAGAAAAGAACCAAAACAGGATAAGACAGCAGCAATAAAATAAACAGTAGAAGCACAAACAAAAGCAACAACCAACCGTAAATATGCATAGGCGAACCGAGATGAAAACACATGCTAATGAGAAATAAACCAGCAAGCGCTAATGCATGGAAATGTACGAAGACAAATAAACTAAAGCTCAGACGTCATAACAAGTAACCAGAAATAGACATGGCAAGCCACCAACAAAAGAACGTAGAACATAGTATTGCCGAATGGTAGGGAGACGATAAACACAATCACTACGAAAAACTACATGTAGCGCTTAGCAATTCTACATCATACGATGAATAACACTCGCAATATGATGAATAACACTCTCAAGCAAACCGAATTATGCAACTAAGACTAAACACGACAGATACATACTGACAGAACTGAACACTTAAAATACCAAACAACATTTATTAGCACTGACGGTTAAGAACAAACAACAACTGAAACACAAAAACACTAAGGACAAACAACAACTGAAACACAAAATACAAACGGTTATTTCTGAAGAAGCGCCATCAACGCCAACTTTAAATAACGAATAATCTCACAGTCATTCAGAAGTCACCATTTGTAAAAATGCTTATAATCACAATTCAAACAAGTTGGCCATAACCGGAAGATGATCATATTTATCGGCAAAAGTAGCAGAAACAACAATGACTACATGAATAATCATGTCACCGCCACAAATGAAAATACAAATGTACTTTTAAGTTCACATGCAACGAAGTAGCCAAACTTGCTTAACTAAAAAATATGTGCATATATATATATATATACATATCATATTATATTATATATATAGGTCATGAATTATGTATATAGTATATACTATTTTTACACAGGCAAAGAAAGAGGCCTGTTAGTTCAGAAATCCCATGTGATCATCTTTTCGATTGGCTCAGAAAGTCTGGAGAACAGGTGTCCGACAAGATTCTCGTAGGAAGGGTATTTCAGCTCACCGTCCGTGCCGAGGCCAATCATCATCTCGGTAATTGTCACTCCCAGCTCTCTTGCAAAAAAGGCGCGGAAGTGCTGCATCCAGTCTCCTTGTGCAGGGCAGTCAAGGTAGCTTGTGGAATCAGGGTTACAATGATATGTGTAAGTGTGGGGTTGCTGCTTGTGCCCGTTACTGCTAGTTGAAGCTGAGGAGCTGTACATCTCAATCGGAGTCCGGCCATGAATCGCCACATGATCAGCCCACAAAGAAATGTAGGCGAAGGTTTCCGAGCCATCGGCATCTTTGTACCAAACGTTTCGAGTTGATAGGAGCCAGGACGGCAAAGGGATGCCTAGCATGAGTTTCGCGGGCCATGCGCACACGGACTGCTGAGTACTGAGCGGTGCTCTGATTCTAGCAGAAGAGCTGAAGTTAAGCTGTGCATTCGATCATATTACAGGCAGAGACACTTCAAACCAGATCCCTCTGTAGCACATTCTTACTGTCGCTTTGCTTGAGGTCTGTCTGCACGCCGAGCTGCTGCTGCCTTGAGCATGAAAAGATGTGCCGACCTGCAGCTTGAACCCAAACTCCTTGACCAAGTCCACCCTGGGAAGCAGTGCAAGAGTCGTTGCAGCAGAACACGGCATGAACATGCGCACTAGCTGACACCTGGGTTCTGATGCATTTTTTGCTGCCCAGCCACAGCTCCCTGTAGCCTGTAAAGTCGTACCGCCCGGGTTCTGGCTCTGTCAGACCCCACCAACAATCCACCATCAATCCTGATCAGAAAAGGCCCCTACAGGCCCTGCAGGCACACACAGCGAGCCAGCGAGCCGCTGCTAAGACATGAAGCCATGTTCTGAACTCTCTGTTGCTTTTGGCCTGGTGGCTGATGTTTCTGCTTTGTGCTTCTGGCTGAAACTCCGGACGTGGTCTGGTTCTGCCGATCTTCAGCGGTTATGATCTTGATCTGCGGTGAAGCCACAAACCGAAATTCGCCAAGGCAGGCTCTCCACCAGCAACCACCACACAATCCGGGCTGGGATCCCTCTGAGAGGGCTGAAACGACGGATGTGAGGGCACTCAACGTTGTCTCTCTACCTTCCCCACCCTCCATACGCGGTTTCCCAGCTGAGCATCCATGTTGTCACATAATCAAGTGCTCGCTTCGTCTTTGGAATTCGCAGTCGCCGGTTGCCAAGGTGGACGCTCTTCCCGCGCATACCCCCACACAGTGACACAGTCGCTTGCTGGCGTGGCGATTTTAGTGCTATTGGCAACAGGTCCTGCGACTTTCGCCTTGGCAAGTTGAGCGAACCAGCGCTTGAGCTGCTCCGGGTTCTTCAAGTGGAAGGCCTAAGCAGAGAACTGCACTTAAAGCACATTGCGTGTCAGCCGTGCCACAGCGCCTCGTCGAAAAGATCCAACGGCAGCATGACAAAGACTTCGGTGCCGGCATGCTGCCTGAAAGAGACCGGACCACAAAGCAGCAGGTCCGTCGAAAATGTGCAGTGAGGTTGCATTCTATTCGCTGCTTGCTGTGCCAGTGAGCCAGCGCCATGCCACATGGGCCCAGGTTTATCGGGGAAGCTTGGAGTGGATCCACAAGACATGACACAGTTGCGGTTCCCTACGAGCCGAGTCAGAACAGGCCTCAGGCCCCAACCCGGCCTGGCGCTCGACTCGGATAGCAGCTTGGGCCCGCCGGCGGGCTCGAAGTTTCGCGTCCTGCGGCTGCGCCGCAGCAGCAGGGCAGCAGGGCGCAGCTCCGGTTTTGCAGACGAGGCACACCAGCATGCTCGTAGCATCAGTCTCGCAGGTGTCCGCAGCACTCAGCCGGCTCAGCACGCAGAAGGCTCCCACCATGGCCAGCATCATTGCGAGGAACGAGTACCGACCAGAAGCTTGAAGCTTGACCCCGGCTGCTCTGAAGAAGCGTCGGACGCCAACGGGCAACTTGCAAGATCTTTAGGCGGAGCAAAGCCCGCCTCTCGACCTCGACCGTTGCCCTTGATAGCAAAGCCATCGCCTCATCAACCAAGGCTATTGCAGGTGCTGGAGTTTGTGGAAACAAGATCTTTTCCATAACTGAATCAGAACCAACACAAACTGAGATCTTTGTGACACAGCTTCTTCTCGGCCTCGACGTGTCGTGGCCCGATCGAGCACAGGTGCCTGCAGTCCCACAGGTACTTTGCAGATCGCATGCACCAGCCATTGAACGCAAGAGCCGTACCGGGTTTGGCGCTGGTTTTGCTAAGGTCGCATCAGCTGGCACAAAGTGCTTCCGGACTCTCACGTGTCGCCCAGCCGTGTAGATGAAGGCGTTAAGAACACGTCTACAGCTTGGCCAGCATGCACAGATTACCGAGTCCGAAGTTCACCACCTCCAAGCATACTTCCGCTGCCAGAAGGTTGAACATGTCCTCTCCGTCCCAAAAAAGGATGTGATGGCAACAGATTGCCGATGTGGGTCGTCATGAGTCACGAAAGACGCTGCATCAAAAGAACTCTTCTTGCTCGTGGGCTCAAAGGCAACAGCCGAAAGTGTCCGAAAGCCCAAGCCTCTGGGATGCTGGGGCTCACGCTCCGAGCTCCTCCTCGCCGTGGGCCCAGGTGCAATCCCCACGCGTGCAGGTGCCCTCCGTGAGACCCAACCAAGGATCTAAGCAGCCTGCCAAAGCACAAAGCACCGCCGGCCTGCTCCCAGAATCTGCAGATGGTCCGCTTGGTGTTCCCACCTGAAGACGACGTCACTAGCGGCCAGTAGCATGTTTTAATCACCACTTCGGCAAGGCATCCTGCAACAACTGCATCGGGACCGCCGAAAGGAACAGCTGGGCCTTGCAACTCTCTTGTCACAGTTGTGACAGCAGTTATTTCCTACCAACGGCCCGTCACACTGCCTGTGACTTTGACCGGCCGGATGGGCTCAGTGGGCTGAATGTTCTCAACCGCAACCAACGGTGCCTTGGAGGCCGGCTCTGTGGAACGAGGGAAGGAGAAGAAACTGACGGAACTGGAAACAGCAACCGAGGCAAAGGCAGAGGGTCCATGTCCGTATGCAATACATGTCTTTGTGCGTGCACGGCTATCCTATGTCTGTATATGTTGGTGTCCTTGCCAGTATCTACGGTCATCTTCTCCGATACCGTTCCTCTACATGTGTACAAGTTTATATGCCGACTAATATCTGCATGCTGGTATAGCTATACCATTTAAATATAGGTTTGTATAGCTATACCTAGGTGTCTATAAATCTGGAGATCTATGTATTAAAAAATCTGTAGATCCACAGATTGGTACATCGATCGATATCTATGTCGATATGCATGCATGGATTACATACTTGCTGGTTCACAGACACTAGGGCTGAAATCAATTCGATCTGGCAGTTCCCGGCAGCAGTGCAAGAGCGCTGTATAGACTCTAAAGCCTGGGTCCCAAGCCCCGATCTCCTCCTCCCCGTGAGCGAAGGTGCAGCTGTCCCCCTTCGTGCAGAGACCCTGCAGCAACGGGAGAAGAACGAATCGTGTGACATCCTCTCTGTGCCTGACTTCCTTTGCATATAACAAGAAACCGTACATGACCACTGATGAGAATGTCAAATGTGCGCTACATGACCTCTTCCCCAACAGCAAGAAACCCTCTGAACAAGCGAGTTTGGAGGGATCGTAGGCCGTTACTGCACCATTGCAGAGTAGGGCAGGGCCTATCCCCGCATCTCTGGCTCCTGCGCCGAAGGGTCGGGCGGCCTGCTCCCAGAATTTGCAGATGGTGCGCTTGGAGCTGACGCCTGACAGTGTGGCGATGCACTGAGGCATCACAGTGCAAGACACATGAACCGGAATCCCCTCTACAGCATGACGGCTTGCAGCAGACCACGTTGCCTGCTGACGGAGCTCGCCACGAGCCTGATGCTCAAACTCTCTCAAGCTAGACAACATTCTTTGAAAGGCCTCTGGGGGGGTTCGATTTTCAGGATTTCAGATGTTGAAGCAGCAAACACACCTGCTCGCTAAGTACAAGAAGCATAACCTGTATTACAGCCATTTGAGCCTCGAGCCAGTGCGCCTCACAGTTCTTGAACTATTTGAATTGCAGATGCTGAGGAGCACTGCAGGTGGACATGTGCGCAGCCTGCAAATACGGTAGATGCAATTGCTCTCAACTCCAAAAATAGTCACAACCAAGGTATCGCTAACTTCAGCACCCACAGAAATGGGATCGTTCTGGTCTCCTCTTTCATGCTTACATTTGCGGCTCCAATGGTCTCTGCACTCAGGGCGCACCCTGTGGAGGAGCCGTCGAAACTGCTGCGCTCCTCCTCTGCATCAGGCCTCCCACGGATGGCATTGTGCAGACCCCGATCACTGAAGTTTCAAGCATTGCAGCCAAGACGATCGTGAGCCTTGCCACAGAGAAGACACAGGGGCTGTGCTGGTTGCACTCCCTACCTTGGTCTTGAACGTCCCCGGATCTCAGCACAATGAACCGTAAGTGTCTTTGGAAAGTGGCAAGGCGCCCACATCCCTCCGTTTAAGAAGCATCCTGGATCCCATGCTTCTTCCTCGCTCTGGCTTTACGGTTCTTGCTCGCTGGTTTCCCGGCCAGTGCGGTTTTTCCATCACGGCCATGGACTGGGACCACCCTGACGAAGCGGCGCCATCCCGAGGCTTTCTGCTTCAAACTGAATGCGCCACCGCTCCACATACATTTTGCGCAGCTGCCAAGCCGTGTAAGACTTTTGTGATGGTGGGGGCTTGTGGCACCCAGGCAGAAGGTCAACACTCAGAGTAGAAGTCAAGTCCGGAAAGCCGGCAGCACAGGTGTTTAGAGTCTAGAGTAGATTGAGACAACATGCGGTTCGGTGTTTGGGTGCATTGAGAGAACCGGGTTAAAACGCTGCCGAAGGGATTGCGAAGCAATCCCTTGAAGTCTCTGAATATTCTCTAAGTGGATGGCGAGCTCCTGGTCTCCGTGCGCGAAGGTGCAGGAGGAGCCCTTCGTGCAGGTTCCCTGGCAATGGCTCATGTGAGCTCCGCTCCTCCACTCCGCTGACTCCGCTCCTGCCTGCAGCCAGAACTTGCAAAGTGTTTTCTTTGCATTGGGACCTGACATAGTGCGGTCTCTTCAAGACTCTTAGTCTTAGTTTGGAAGCTGCACAACACGAGCCGAGGCCACCCATAGCTTCAGGCCGAGGCGACAACGGCATGCCGAGTTCCTCTGCGCCTGCACGGCACACTTCCGGCACATCTGCCTTCCGAACCAATTAGACTTCATCTGGTTAGGTGTCGGAAGATTGAGCATGCGACTTTGGTGCAAGCTGCTCAAGATTTTCCGCGTAGGCTCGTCTCCCATAGAGTCTATTGCCGGTCGCAAGACCATGCAAGCAAACATGCGGTTGGAACAAACATGATCAGCCGCAAAGTTGGCTATGTGCCCTGCCAGTGAAACACACCAAAGATAAGATCTCAGCCTCGCCGCACTAGATGATTGGAACTCGAGCCGGCTCACGAAACCGGTTCTTCACCATCCTGAACCAATGTGGACCAAAGTCTCAACTGGTTTCCCTGCGAAGTGTGATGGCCCCTTCCCTGTTGCGAACCACTGAACAACAGCATTCAGTGCTGCCTGAGGTTTTGCAACTGTACTTCCTGTCTCAAACACCGCTTGGCGACTCAGGAATGTTCTCGTGTTCCGGAACGTAACCTTTCCTACTGAGTCCTACTGTGGCATCAGCCGTGGTATGGATCTATGTTGGCAGGTCTACCCAGATTCAATGTCCTCGGCTTCACCCGGACACGCGGGCAGGTTCTCGGAGCTTTTTCCAGCACATGGAGAGCGCCTGCACATGGGAGCCAAGTTGAGAAGGGAAGGAAGGGTGATCGTTGAGTCAAGTCAAGTTGGTTCAGGATTGTAAGCAGGTCACGCTTTGGGCGGGCTCGAACTCCAAATTGTTGGAGACGAGTGTGTTTCTGAAAGTGTGGACTCACATGGACACAAGAGCCCGGCTTAAGTCAAATCAGTGCGCGCGAAGTCACCTCACCCTTGCAAACGCCGGGAAAGGCCAAGTAACCAAGTTAGTAACCTCGTAGCATAAGAAATCACATCAGAGCTTCTTACAACCAAGTCCAGACCCCAACTAGACTCTACGACCGGGACCATTGGGAAACCAAACGCAAAGCATGGTATCTGAGTCCGACATGCAGGCATTTCAACGGCATTGAACGTGATACAATACCGTGTTTGCATTGCTAACGATGTCAACGAAATGACAGCCCTAAATTACAAAGTAGAGCTAATCCACGGGAGAAGCCTAGACATGAAATCACGAAGCGGGCGCTGAGAACCTGTCCACAACAACCAAAAACTTCATGACTACTACTGCGAATTGTGCCACATGAACTCGATACGATATGCGAGCTCCATGTAAAGGAGGGGTTGATACGACTTCACCGCTAAAGGTACGACTTAAATTACCCCCTTGCACCAATAGCCCGCAAAGAAACAACTAGCCTTCAAAGCGACTCATGCTTTGAGAACCACACGGCCTCCATGAAGCAACCGTACATTCACTCAAGGAGACAAGACGAAGCTGCTGAACCACCCAGATGTATGTAACATTCTGAAGAGTTAAATGCTTCAGATGAACGGCAAACGGAAGGAATGGCCAGCTTGGATTGCGATGAGGGCACCGTTGTTGAGTAAGGGTGCAATGCGGCTTTCATTTATCAGGCTGGCCTGACCGCGCCCGAGTGTTCATGCTCACTTCGCCCATCGCAGGCCTGAATGGAGCCGTCAGAAAGCGACCCTGAAGATGTGAAGAATCTACATCATGCGGCACTGCTCGCAACACCCGCCGTCTTTCTCGCTGGATGTTTTGCAGCTTGAGTCATGCAGGCAATGGGGCTGCAAGGACCAGAAGTTGAGTTGGTCCGGTTTCATGAGCTGCTGGGCTACCCACTTTAGCGGGAGGGAGATGAGTCTCACGGAGTAGTCCAGGTCTGTCCTCGGTCTGCATCTTGCAATCCGTCCACGGGGCAAGCTAGCACTGAGTGATGCGGCCCGCAAAGAGGGTAGAGCTCAACGAGACGCCTGAGCAAGACGAGCGGATCACAACCCCACCGCTCGAGTTGCTTGCCCTGTTCAGCCTTTTCTTTTTGATTCTGGCGACCTGAGCACTCAAGTCGATCGAAGGGCTTCCACGATGCTCTGCCAGAGACTTGAGGTCTAGGCTGTGGCTTCATCAGGGTCCTCGAATCTCTTGACGAAGCGACGGACAACCATCTCCTGCAGGAATTGTGGGCGAAGGCAATCAACGCAGTGTCCAGGAGTCCCAGCCCATCCTCCTTGCGCTTGAAGGTGGTGATAAGGCATCGTCCACCGTAGCTCAGGCAGCGGAACGCAGCCTCCAGGCCTCACCATCTGCCGCGCAGTGTGACTTCGGAACCAGAAGCCTACTGACCTACTGCTGCCTGCAACCGGGCTCGGCTAGGCCAGGTAAAAGGAACGATATTCAATGGACACAACAAGTGTCTGAGACAACACAGGCACAGCACCACCTTCTCTTAAGTCACGTGCCTTGCTGCAGCGACTCGATCTCCGAGTTCAGGAAGAGGCGTATTGCCTGTGGCAGCAGCGAGGCAGGGACCCTAGGCCCCAGCTGTCCAGTGCGGAATGCCTGCACCGTCAAGCGAGCAGGATGCCTCTTCCCTGGCATCGAGAACCGCTGCATGCACATCTCTGCTGCGTCACGGCGAAGCCTCGAACCGTGTGTTCAAACTCTTCATCGCCGACCTGCGCACCATGCCAGCGCAGGCAGCCAAAGCGAAGCGGAAGCGCCCCCCCCCCCCGGGGCTGGGGTCTCTGCTAGCTTCGCTTGCCCGACCAGCTCAGCGAAGCGTTGCATTGAATGAAAAGGGCCATCTGCCGTGGAGCGCACCCGAATCACACTTGCAAGAAAGCTGCATGGCAGCAAACAGGGAGGCTGACTGTCTTGCTGGTCGTCATAAATCAACTGTCAATGCATCAGGGTGGAGGCCAACTTTGGTCAACAAGCTTTCAATTCCAGTCCACCTGAGCTATCCTTTCGGCTTCCAAGTCGTCCTGGCAGACCGTACGGTGTACGGAGATGAAAAGCTGGAGACGCTTTCTTGGGGATCCTGAAAGTCATCGCCATATTCGCGCAGGACCCAGGCGATCTCCTCCGAGGAGGCGGCCTCCAGGCATCGCTCTGCTTGTGGGAGAGAGAGAGAGAGAGAGAGAGAGAGAGAGAGAGAGAGGGAGAGAGAGAGAGAGAACGCGTGCGCGCGCGCAGAAAGTCTTGCTGCCTGGCCTCCAGCCATTCAGCCGCCGAGATGCCCGCTGTCGGGTTCATGCGCAAGTCCAGCCGTGTGTCCTGTCGCTCAGGGCACGATACGACGTGACGACGTGACGACGTGACGACGCGACGACATTGACGAAAGCTGTCCGCGGAGCGGGAGAGGTTGGACATGTTGAAGCCACGGCTCTTGTCATCAACCCTGCGAGTCACCGTGGTCACTTCTCTTGGCGCAGCCGGACCGAGGCTTCGACTGAACGCTGGACACGCCGACATCGAGCCTTGTTGGTGCTTGTGCTGTTGGCGACGATTCATCCTGGTCCCTCCAACTCCTGAGCCCTTCGCACCAGACCTTGTGGTCTTCCCACCTCCGAGATGAGGTCCGCCATCTGAAGCAGACGAAAACGGTCGGATCAGCAGATCCAAAGCTAAAAAAAAAAAAAAACGCCCACCTCAGGGTCATCCTCACCGAATAGCTTGTCCAAATCCTCAGGCTGAACTCAGTCTGTCCCCAAATGTGATCGTAGCATTTGCGGAAGTAAGCCTGGCACCGCGAAGGACCTTGACAGGAATGAAAACCTGGAGCAAGGGTCGGTTATCAGCGGGCACTTGCGAAAGGACAGAGCCGTCAAAGCCCCTGCCTGGAATCCTCCTCTTCGAGCAGGCGGCCTCTAGACGTGTCACCGACAGATCAAGCTTGTTTTGCAGGCTAGACACCCCTCCTTTTTGGATGCAAGTCGGGTCGACGTCCAGTGCAACGAGCCGTCCGTCCTCTCAAAGCGACGAAGGTAAGTGCAAACTGCCAAACTAAGTAACCCTCCTAAGCAGGCACTCGCTGACTGAATACATGTACTATCTATATATATATATATATATGTATATATATACACATATACATATCTCAAAGTGTATGTCTCTATATATAGATGTATAAATAACATAAAAATATCGTACATGTGTATATATATATATGCACATACATGCACACGTGTGTGTGTCAAAAAAGAATTCATGCATGTGAGTAAGTGTGAGTGTGAGTTTGAGAGTGAGAATGAGAGAGTGAGAGTGAGTGAGTGTGTTGTGTGTTGTGTGTTGTGTGTTGTGTGTTGTGTGTTATGTGTTGTGTGCTGTGTGTTGTGTATTGTGTGTTGTGTGTTGTGTGTTGTGTGTTGTGTGTTGTGTTTTGTGTGTGTTGTGTTGTGTGTTGTGTGTTGTGTGTTGTGTGTTGTGTGTTGTGTGTTGTGTGTTGTGTGTTGTGTGTTGTGTTGTGTGTGTTGTGTGTTGTGTGTTTTGCGTTTTGTGTGTGTGTGTGTGTGTGCGTGTGTACATACATACATACATACATATGTATATATATATACACATGCATGCATGTGTGCGTATGTATGTATGTATCTTTCTACCCATCTACCTATGTATGCAGGTAGGTAGGTTTGTGTGTACATGTGTGCTTGTGTATGCACTTAAATATGTATATGCATCTACATCTACATATAAGCATATATATAATTACATATGTGTGTGTGTGCGTGTCTTGTTTACATGTATATACACATATACATCTACATCTACATCTACATCTACATGTACATATACATGTATATAAATATATATGTATGCATGTAATATGCCATACATACATACAAACATACATACATATGATGTGCATGCCTTTTCTTTCTGACGCGCTTAGGGGTCGCGTGCGACCCGCACGCTCTCGGCCCGCCCGACCACCAATCTGTTTATGTAGTGGTCGGCTTTGGGGTACTCCCTATTTGCTTTGCTTTGCTCCGGGGTTTGAGTCGTAGGCAGGCCCTACGACCCGCGCATCAGCGCGACCCCATCCATCCTGTTGAACGGATGGGCTTGGCTGTACACGGAGCAAGTTCGTAGAAGAAGACTGGTGCCC